TGTCTTAGTCAGGTGCAGGAGTGTTGGCACATGAATGAAATTATTGTCAGGTGCAGTGAGTATTTGCCTAATTTAAGGGGATAATGCAAACGGAAAGAGGTTGTTTGTTTTGTCATGGGGAGAGAAGGAGGAAGCAGGACTATCGGCTTTATACTCAGGTTCGTTGATTGGTTTACACCGTGACTAGTGGAGGAAAGGGATCTAGTGTGTCGTTTGTCAATAAAAGCATGTAAGTGAGTAACATGTGATGCGGAGTGGGTCGAATGGATAAGTGGCGCATTTGAGGAGTGGTGGGAAGTTTTAGTCAACGAGCTTCAGAGGATAGGGACGGTTATTGAGAAATATAATGGTGTCGATCCCCGTTAGGTCGAAGTGTATAGAGAATAGCCTTAAAATTTTGGAAATCTCGCCCACAATAGTTGTAGATCACATAGGAACACTGGCAAGAAGAGAGTTAGAAAGGAGTGTGGTGGTGTATGAGTGGAAGAGAAGGTGATGCGGAAGTCCAATGGGATAATTGTTGTCCAGAATCACAAGGTATGTGTTAAAGCAGGCTGAAGTAGTAGTTTTGCGTGCTCTGTGGGCTATTCTGGCCCAGTTGTTGGGAATTAAGGAGGTTTTCTTTGTTATTATTATTATTCACACTCAGCTACTTGGTACATAAGCTTTGTGGAGAAACTATTTCGGGTCTCTACAGAAACAGTTATGCGCAAGTTCTAATATTGTTTGCCTAATATTCGCCATGTTTAGGCAGTTCCTGCAGAATTTATAAGAATATCGAGTTGGCTTTAAGGGAAATAAAAGAAGAAAAGGAAGAAAGTTAGGGAAAGAAATATGAAACATGCAAACGTTTCATTGAACATGTTTGTGAAAATGGAATGAAAATAAGTGGTGGTATCCATATTACCAAGTGAATAAAAAATACAATCAACAAATAAATAAAAAAAAGATCAATAACGCATTATAATTTGACGATGGAGTGTGGATTTGTGCAGTATTAGTTTAGAATAATGCTATGAAGGTCTTAGTTAATTTTATGAAATTATCGTCAAATATCAATTTGTACGGGTCATATATACGTCGTGAAGATATATTGAATCTAAAGAGTTAACTTATTTAAGTGTATTACAAGATATTATTTCTTAATTATGAACTTTGGACATAGTATGTTTTAGGTTATAAATGGAGAATCGCCTGAGATGATTGCCAGGAGAGGTACTCGTTCTTCGTTGCTTTCTGACTTTTGAAACTTTCATTGTTTACTCTAAAAGGCTTAGTAGCAACGTGAGTGGGTGAAGTGCTAGGCAGGAATAGCCTCATGTTAGGATAAGTGGATACAGTTAGTCCTCTGTGTGTGTTGTGGGGTCTTCTGCGTACAGGTGCATGTTACGAACTAAAGGCTCTGAGACGTTCGTCGGTTTCTCCAGTGCGTTTAGTGTTATTTTGCACTTTGGTGATTAGGCATGGTTTTGATCTTAAGACTAGTAACCAAACTCGACGCGCCTTCGGGTTTGGGAGGCATTGGGGATGGGACTCTAGTACTTGTGCAATGGCCATCGTTGTGACTATTGCTAGTACACAGACTGGTTTAGTTGTTCTGTTCTTCATTGATGAATCGACGTTGAATAGTAGTCTTATCTTGGATGATTCTAATCTTTTTAATTACAGAGATACGCCTAATTAATGACGGATTATTAATGTGGTGACCAGCTTTTGTGATACCACCATACTGAAAGGTAATGGGACAAGAAGCTTTATACTGGGTTCTAAGTAATCTTTAAGTCACATATCAGGATTGTGACAATCCACACATTTGTTGTGGAGTATTTTTAATGAACTTCAATAATAATAATAATAATAATAGCAAATTACTCTCAGATAACAATATGTTACACGAGGCATGACAGATTACAGACAACATCAAAGTGCCACAAAAGCCATAGGATTTACTGTTAAAGTTACTGAATTAGGTTGATATATCATGAGACATTTGTTATCAAAACATAGGGATAAAAATTTGTACACTGGAATATGAATATAAGACTCCAGTGTTCAATATAAGATTTATGAGTAAGACGATAATTATGAAAAAAAACATTTCATTGCTAATAAATTTAGGATATCGGGAATTCCTTAAACTTGTAGAATGTGAACTAGAGGAAATTCACAGTAATTTAGGATATTGTGAGCTTCTTATGGTTAACCATAATTGAGCAGCACCCATGGGGTTAGTGAGTCACCTGTCTACTTGAATTATAAAGTATGTTGGGCCATACGGTTTGTGGTTGGTCTTACTTATATCTTTAAGCTAGACACAACGTAGTGAGGAGTCACTCCCAGGTAAATAATGCATGTATAATGCATCTGTATAAAGATTGGAGGGCGATGTGCATAGATCAGCGTGTTTACAGAGACTCACTGACCTAGATCTTTTACAGATTCTATAGACACCAGCGGAGTATATATTTATTTTTAAATGGCCCAGAGATAATTTGAAGAAATGTCATTATGAGAAAGGTTCGCATTAACTGAGCGGCAAACAATAAAATTAGATCTAACAAATGATGAATGTTCGAGGGCGTGCGCGAATCCAATATTTATGGTGAAATAAAACATTTATGTCCGTGAACAAAGACGCACAGCTTGGAACCAAACGGACTAGGGATGTAAGGCTGAATGTATGGTAGCAATTGTAATTTATTCCCGAGTAACAGTATGTTACATGTGTCATGCAAATTTACAGGCAGGATCAAAATGTTACGGGATTCAGTGTAGTGAGTTACTTAGGTTGACGTTTAATAAGACACAATGCTCATATGAACTGAAGGGGATAAATTTGCGTAAATAGGAATGTGAATGATATTATTAATAACAATGTGTTTCAGCTGCATACTGTTTTATAGATGTGGTCAACAATTTACATGGCTTCACAGATATGGTATTACTGAAGTTAGGTTATTATATAAATTGACTCAGTGAGATCTATGGTGGAATATTTTTGCTGATATATCAACAAGTTAATAAGTGGTTTTGTATTGGTACTGTATCGTGAATTCATGGTTGGTATATTCTGTACAAAAATGTCACATCGTACAAAATGTCACCTTTTTGGGTTCACACTTGCTCCGAATTTCAAAGATGCGCTTAAAAATTGATGAGAAAAAGCAGGAGAACTAACAGGAACAGTGGTTGACAAGACCTGTTTGTTTGTGGTGAGAGGGGTTAAGATATGTGTGGGCAAAACTCAAACTAATCATTTAAGGAACCTCAGATAAGACATAAGAACTAAACGCGATGTGTGGAAAATTGCTATGAGGGAAAAGACGTAAGCTGATGGAAGTTGATGGGCTAAGTGGGATAAATGTTCACTGATTTCGAAAAATTAACGGTAACGTAAATTGTCTAAATTCACATGTGAATTTATCATCACAGTTTTTATTCATTTATTGCCCTTCTCTTTTTATAGATTTTACCAAATCCCAAAGTTAAGTTTGCGCTTAAGCGGCTGAAAATGCGTGTAATAGGCCAACCTGATGAAGTAGAAAAACCAACATGAATTATGTAATGCTCATCTAAGAAGTTTGCGCCAAAATCCGAGACATGGTGTCTCTAATTTCTTCGGTTCGTCCACAAACTGTGGTCCCACCGTAGTCTTTACCTGAGTTCTTAGTGATATTTGGAGTTCATACAGTCTATTTATATCCTCTAATATCTGTGTCCTGTGTACTGCAAGTTTGTAAACTGTCTATGTTTGTGCCTCTAACTGGTGTTCTCATCAGAATAGCCAGTAGCACAAGGAAGATTAGAGTTAACGGTCATCCGTCAGTCTTCAACTCTAAGTTTACTATATACGAGCCTGACGAAGTCCGAACAGGTTTGTGTGAAGACAACCTTCGTTGGCTGTTATATCTAAGCGATAAGATTTCTAGAAAAATAAGGTTATCTTACTCCAAACTTCGCCTTTTATATGATAGAGGATGCCTACTATGAACACACCCAGCGAACAAACAAAGGAAATACTGAATATTCCTATCCTTCTGAGTTCTTATAGAGTCATAAAATTTCACAAGTGACATTCGGAAAGCATCCGGATTGAAAGTTCTTCACTTGTACTCTGACTCTGGGGTGTTTTTCTAGTGTCAAAACTACTGTATGTTGTTTCAGGTCTTTGGATAAATGCAGAATAAACCTTTCCGAGCCTTCATATTTGGTACAGAATGTCTGCGAACTTGTCACTCTTGGATCATGCATGGGGATTTTGTCTGATAAACCAGCTTTACTCACTCGACCGTTTATTCAGTACAAAGCTACTTAAGATCTGTCATACAGAACATTCTCGTGACCAGTTTTCTATGTGTTATCTCCATGTTATCATTGCATTTTCTGGTCAAACATAGTATTGACAGGTTTCCGATAGATCATAGGTTAGTTGGTGTTGACACCTACTGTTTTCATCACACCTATAATACTGAAAGAGACATTTTTTATAAGAAGTCCTTTATAAAAAGTTCTAGACACAAATGCTGTCTTGATCGGTAAGGTGACGGTCAGTATTCAAAAACGGAAAGTGATTTACTTACTAAGAAGCGGATGCAGACACTTTCATCAATGTCTTTAAGATATACTAGAGAAGCGTTTGAACTCATTACAATTTATAACAATATAGGGAATCTAGGTAGTCTTGATTATTCTGTCCTGCTCTTTTGTTGGGGTTCATGCAGTAGCCATAAAATATACAAACATTTTTACTTCATTCTTAGTGATTCTACGTGTTACGTCGATTTATACGACAGTATTTTCTTTATCAAACTAAGTTGGCATGTTACAAATACATTTGTACTTATAAACTGCTTTGATACGGCTGGAGTGGTAGTAGCGTAAATGAATCAATACACTGACAACATGAGTAGTTTATTCAACTTCTTATTTCACATTATTCATAATTTTTGTTTCATAGACAAACGATTCATTATATACATTGTATATTTGAGAACTTGTTTAACCTTACATTACCTACGTTACCAATGACTACATTTCGTAACGTATTCGAAACCTTACTCTGCTAAATTATCTGCTTCTAGTTTTGATGTTTAGATTATCATAACCTGAATCTGATGTTCGCTGTGGATGCCCTCTCAGTACGTAAGTTACTTTCTGGATAGATGCGAACTACTACGACGTTGTCAGGTTATAGTTTAGATAACCAAACTGTCTTAATCTCACGCTTGTATCATTTCTAGGTGTCACTGGCTGCTTTGATTGCTTAACGTAAATTCGTCCTATGTTCTCAATGGGTTGTCGACTAACTTTTTATCTTGACTTTTGTATCTCAGATTTCTCCAACTTAAACTTGTTGGTGCTCATCAATACATAAGTGATATGACATTGCGTCTTACAGTGTAAACCATATCTCTAACAAGAACTGTCAAGATAGTATGTATTTGAAATAATATGATATTGTCTACACCTGTACTGTTCGTATCATTATTCGGGATAACTAATAACAAATGGATTGAATGAAAATATTTTCATTCAATAATAATATTAATAATAATATTAATACTTAAATATTTAAGTATTAATATTATTCAATCTATTTTCAAATAATTAAACCGGCTAAAGTGTACACCAACAGTAATTAAAATCAAGGTGGAGTGACTACGAATGGATATAAGGCATAACCGAAGTGATATTCAGTCTAAACCAGATATAGAGCTTTTTGAAGTTATATTGAAACTAGAGCTACAGTAGCGGTAGGATCAGTTTCAGTTTCAGTTTGGAAAGAACAGGAGGCTTGATGGCCTGTGTTAGTCCTGACAATGATGGTCTCTCAGCTGATCCAACTTTGTTTTAAAGGAGTCAACGGATGGAGCCTCAACCACGTGCTGAGGTAATGAATTCCAAATGGTTAAAATTTTGAATTCCACTTGTTTAATGATTCGATGGGAAAGTCGGTAGTCAGCTGACAAGTAATTCGTTCTGGGCTTGTGAACTTTTTTGAAGTGTCCTTGTAGATTTTCTGTTTTGGAAGACAAGAAAAATGAGGGCATATCATGTGAAAATTTGTCATTAAGCAATTTGAAAACTGTAGTCAAGTCGCCTCTGATTCTTCTATATGACGGCGGGAATAGGTTTAGCTTGGTCAGTCTAGTACCATACGGGAGCTTCGCTATTCCGGGAATCAGCCTAGTTGCTGTCCTCTAAACTCTTTCCAAGAGTTTACTGTTTTTTTTTAGGCAGGGGTTAGCTGCTTGTATGCAGTACTCAAGTTAAGGACGTACGAACACTGTATACAAAGTCAGAAACGTTTTAGCGTCGAGATGCCTAAAAGCCCTGAGTATGGACCATAAAGTTGTAAAACCTTCGGCGGCTTTTGCACGGCAGTGTGCAGTAGTCTTTAAGTCTTGACTAACGATGACGCCTAAGTCATTGTGTGCCTGGACAATAGGTAACTCAGTGTTATTCATCGTGTATGTATCTGTACCCTGGTGGCCAATATGCATCACAATACACTTGGAAGTATTTATCGGCAATTACCAGTTTTGGGACCATTCAGATAATCTCTCCAGGTCATTTTGGAGTTCTAAGCTATCGCCCTTGCTTTGTATTGCTCTCCATATCTTGACATCGTCAACATAGAGTAAGACCGATGACGATAGTAGACGAGGGAGATCATTTACGTACAGGAGGAATAACACTGGCCTCAAAACTGTACCCTGGGGGACTCCACTAAGCACAGTTTTCCAGCTAGATAACTCTTTGTTGACGCCCAACTACGAAGTCTTTTATCCACATCAATAAACTACCTTCAATCCCGACATTCTTTAGCTTATATAGCGGTTGGTTGTGCGGAACTTTGTCGAAAGCTTTGCTGAAATCGATGTAGGCTACGTCTATAGGTAACTTTTAGTCCTTAAGAGCGCACCAGCTTCCACGATCGACTAATAAGTTTGTGAGACAAGAGTAACCTGTTCTAAAACCATGCTGCTTTTCGGAGAGGAACCGGTTTTCATCGAGATACTTAAACAGCTACTTCCGAATAATCTTTTCTAATATTTTAACAACCACACTAGTTAGGCTAATAAGTCGATAATTCTCAGGCTTATGTTTTGTACTTGTTTTGAAGACAGGACTTACTATGGCGTTCTTCCAGGTTTTTGGTAGACGACCCTGGGTTACGGATAGATTAAAACATATACTTAAAGGGTTCGCAACGAAGTTAGCTAATTTCTTTAGCAACCTAGGATGCAGTTCTTCGGGTCCAGTGGATTTACCTATGTCAAGCTTAATTAGCAGACCGAAGACATCGAGTTCTTTAATGGTCACGCTGTCCAGTGTTTGTGTGGGGAGATTTCCATAGACAGGTGAGAAAGGTGTTTCTATGGTGTATACATTGCTAAAGTATTTAGAGAATACTTGAGCTTTGCCAAAGTCGTTCTCCACTAGTGATGAGGCAGTACTGTCTCCCCATAGTGAAGGAACATTTCTTCTTCTTTTTGCCCTTTGGTTTATATACGAATACAAGCGTTTAGGGCATTAATTCTAAAAGATGTCCAACAATTTTAGTGCAATAGAAATTACACTGAAACTGAAGTTATAAGAACTAAGAATTGCATTTCACGGGCTGAAACTTAATCGAACTGAATTGCGGTGTTATTTACTGAAATGCGTTTAGAATTTGTTGTACTTGAATTATCGGAGAGATAGACAAACAGGCAAGTAGACAGATGGATAAAAAACAACATACTAGGAGGATATCAATTTCGGGTTAATAACGAAACCAAGCTCAAAATAAACAACAGAAAAGGATCGATAGATGGAGAGATAGTCTCATTTATGTGGTCTTAGATTGGTTCTTATGACAAATTACCAATAGATTTAATTAAATGTACTCGTTCTTTCCAAACGTTTATAATATTTTATATTTGATTACATTAACTCCTGTTATATTTACTCCTGAAGCTAAATTGCGTCAAGGTATTTATTCGAAAATGTTTTTAGTTGTCTAGCTAGTAGGTCCTTCTGCAAACTACCTATTGGGTTTTCATTAGCTAATTAGCCATCATTCAAAACCTTCTAAAGATCGACCTTAAGAAAACTTTACTATAATTTAAAGAATGACAATAATTTTCACAACTGACGAACTTCTATTATTTAGTATAAAAATATTCAGTGTCACAAAGCTGAACTGTCACTTGGCTAGACTCGAGCCTTTCTGCACCAGCGAATTATTGATCAAGCATGAGCAAAGGATCTTTATCATTAGAAAACTCAACAAAGTTTATGACATGTAAACAAAAACGTTCCTTAAGACGAAGCGTATACCAATAGGTCGTGCAACACTGGTGACATCAGAGAGTGGTTTGTTTTATTTATAATAAGTTAGCGTCTAGGCAAACAGTTGGTCCATGGGAAAAATAATTTTCTGTAATTGCTTACATTCACAGGTAAAACAGAAATGCATAGTTTTAAGTGTCTGATCAATATTTTGTCAAATCATACATAAGTTCATGGTTTTTACACTTTATGCTTGGTTTTTTAAGTTTTGTATGTGTAAAATAATATTTTAAAAATTCCAAAGGGCGTTATTAGTAGTATTTCTGATAAGGTTACATACATTTATTACTGTGATATAGTCTTTGTGGATAGTGTTCCGTACAGAAGGTTCAAGAAACCGTTTTTGTCTAAAATGTGTATGTGATACTTTACACTTTAAAACTAATTATAATTCAGCCTTCTTTCTGGTTGCTGTGAGGTTTTTCTATTAATTTATACAAATCATCTACTTAGCTAATAAAACGATGTCCTGAATCATTTGATGAGATCGCAACATTGTTGCTGATATATGGGTAGATGTTTGATCACTAAATTTTGCACAGTATGTGTTTTTTTAACGTAAAGAATTTGTAAGTAATGACACAAGTACTTTGTAATGCCGCGATTCGTTAATCGTTTACTTAGATAACCGTTATAATTCTAATCTTAACGGTGCGTAAAATCAGAAGACAAAGGATTGCAGCAACTACAGTTTATTGTCGAATAACTCAGGTTAGAAAGCTAACAACACCTGAGTGAATATGAACGAGCGAGTGAACAGGCGAATAAGCGAAGGAAACGAAGGAGGCGGAAATGACATGCTTGGGAGATGGAGGAGAAGCCAACTCGAGAGCGAGGCGAAAAAGGATGCGTATTGGAGATGGCTGGGAAGCCAACTTGATCTAAGCAAGCGTTAATCAACACTTATAGTCGGACAAAAATGAGTGACAGACATATGATGAATAAGATAAGAAGTGTACACATATACGCTCATATAAAAGTATAGTCAAGGTCAATAAGCGAATAATTAACAAGATCAAAATATGACTCATGACAGGTGAATTGGCTTGGCCAGTAGCTAGGATAAAGTATATGGGCTTAACAAATAAACTGATACTACAACTTGTTCATAAAAGTGCCTCTATTTTCAAGGTTAAAAACATGGTCACAAGTATGATAAACGCTTCAAGACTGTACAGCTTCATGTAGTACAGAAACCTTGGCAGTCGCATTCTTTTTCTTAAATAGATGATGATGACAACAAGCTAGCTGGAAATTTTCAAGATATCAAACTTACAATGCTTGACAAGAGCTTGTAGTGTCGGTTGATATGTTAAGCCCATATACCTTATTCTAGCTTCAGGATAAGCCAATTTACCTATCCATCTCGAGTCATGTTTTGAACGTTAATTATTCACTTTTTAACCCTGTCAGTTTTTATATGAGCGTATGTGTGTACACGTTTTATCTTATTCATCACATGTCTGTAATTTATTTTTATCTGACTATAAATATTGATTAACACTCGATTAAAAAGAGTTGGCCTACCCGCCATTTGCAATGCGTGTCATTTTCGCTTCGCTCTTTTCTGTTCGCTTCATCCCTCTGATTTCCCGTCCAGATCAATAAGTGTACAAAATATAAGTATTCGAAATCCATTTTCGTATTTGACTTATTTAACTTCGTTATTCATCAACGCGGATTAAGTCATTTATTACATACGAGGATAGATAGGATATATATTTTGACAAATTCATTCATACAACCTAACTGGAGTCAGATCATGGCCTCTACAGGCTTATACTGATTTCAGCTTTAAAATTCAGTAAAGCCCTTTCGAAGTTTGTATAAGTAGGGAGAAATCCGTTCTCATTAACCAATCAGTTCTTTGTAGATTACACTAATATTGAGGCTAGCTAGAGACAGATTGTAGTTATTGTAAGTTATAACTATGAAGCTACAACCTTGAGTGTTGAATCTGAAGACACTGCCATTGACATTTTCTATGATTTCTAAATATTATGTTGAAATATGTTGGTCTTTCCAGAGCTATTAATATTATTACTCTACCCTGCTTTTTACAGTCTCACTGATCTCTTTTCTTTATATTCTTGTGTGTTTTATGATAACTGAAGTCTATTAAAACTCATGAAGGAATCTAAATTGCCTATGACTAGCTGACTGGTCAGTGCTTTAGTTATTACTGTAGTATATCTGATGTTAATGCCATGTCAGTTATTTTTAATTGCTAAAGACTTTTAAACTTTAAACAATTGTGAGATAATTAAGTCTCTCTTTGATTGTTAACTGTATGCAGAGAACTTTCATTGTTTTATGTCAGGATCTGTGGGGACTAGGATCTGACTCCAGTTAGGTTGTATGAATGAATTTGTCAAAATATATATCCTATCTATCCTCGTATGTAATAAATGACTTAATCCGCGTTGATGAATAACGAAGTTAAATAAGTCAAATACGAAAATGGATTTCGAATACTTATATTTTGTACTCTTATTGATCTGGACGGGAAATCAGAGGAATGAAGCGAACAGAAAAGAGCGAAGCGAAAATGACACGCATTGCAAATGGCGGGTAGGCCAACTCTTTTTAATCGAGTGTTAATCAATATTTATAGTCAGATAAAAATAAATTACAGACATGTGATGAATAAGATAAAACGTGTACACACATACGCTCATATAAAAACTGACAGGGTTAAAAAGTGAATAATTAACGTTCAAAACATGACTCGAGATGGATAGGTAAATTGGCTTATCCTGAAGCTAGAATAAGGTATATGGGCTTAACATATCAACCGACACTACAGATGGAGTAATCCCATATCTCTAGTGTGCTTTTAGTAAATTTTCGGAGTTCATATACATGTATTTATAAGTAAATTTATTTATCCGACAATAAGAAACACTGAGTAAAAACCCTTTGTCTCAATCTATAAGATGTCGAATTATACCCATTTTAATATGAGTTTACCTAAATTGTTGAACATCTAAGATGGTAAAATTTTTTTAACTTTTTTTAATCATAGATTTAAACAATGTCTCAGTTAATAGAACTCATTCTTCAGGGTGACAGTGATAAAATCCTGAAAATTTTAAAAGAATATGATAAAGATCCAGAAGGATATCTAAAATCTATGAATGAATATGACGAAATGCATAATTCTGCTATTGAATTATTTACAATATTGGATTCCAGGAATATTATTGAAAAAGCATTAAGCAATGGTTATAATGAACTAAATATAATTGGAAAAAATGGTAAGTTTTAAATTATTTAAAAAAAAAATCATTTCCCCCTCTTCTACATAAAAAGGTTGTAATTTAGTTCATTATGCTGCTATGTGGAATCATGCTGATTTAATAAAATATTTATATTTTGCTGGTGTCGACGTTTATAGAAAAAATGTCCACGGTGAAACTGCACATAAATTAGCTGTTAAATATGAACAAAAAGAAGCGATGCATATATTAGAATGGATAGGTAGTTAATAAAAATAGTATTCATGTATAGATAATTTGTTTATTTAATATTATTTAGAATGTCGTGATGAATTTATTATGCTAATCCGATTAGTCAGAGAAATTTTAGCAACTTCTGATAAGAATGATTATACGAAAGAAGAAAGGGTAGGTCGGTATTCTATATCTTTTTGAACGTTGCAATTCAACTTCCATCATGCTAAAATATTTATTCTACCATTTTTATAGGTTTTAATATAAATAATCAATGATTACAAGTAAAGATGGATAGCGGCTAGCAGTAGAATCTAGGATGCGCGCGTTTCGTCCTATTTGGGACTCGTCAGATGGATGAACCTGCGTCTCAGAGTTGATGTTCACTCTGGGACTCGAACCCAGTACCTTTCGCTTTAGACGATATCACGTTATCCACTCAGCTACTGAGACCTGATAGCTGTTTGCTTGCAGTCCCAAAGGTCAATGGGAAGATTCAGCCAAACAATACCAAAACAATTTAAACTTCGCCTCACTGCACAAACAAGTGGCTATCAGAACTAAGTGACCGGGTGGATAACGCGATGGAGTTTGAGGCGAAAGGTACACGATTCGAGTCCCAGAGTGGACATCAACTTTGATATGCAGGTACATCCAGCTGACGAGTCCCAAATAGGACGAAATGCGCGCATCCTGAATTCCACTGCCAGCCACTATCTATCCATCTTTGCTTATAATGCTTGTGAGCTTAGGCTATATCTAGCAATAAGCACAGTGTGCACATATGCCAATAAGAGACTGATCAGTTGCAGTTCTAAACATCAATGGGAAGATTCAAACAAACAATACTAAGTGAATTTTAAAAAACCAATGGTCTAAAACATTATTTACTTCCATATAGACGTTATAATTAATAAGTAAATTTGTTAGTTTTGAATAGTAAGGAAAATAAGTTTTGTAGAATAAATTTAATTTATTGGACATTAAGGCTTTTCGCCAGCTGAAACCGACATGAAGTAATACAAAGTAGTATGGTTGTAAACAATGATTTAAAATTCATAGTTCATAAGATTGAAACGGATGTTAAAAGCAAAACACAACACAGTAATGTGGGTGTAAAAGGCATCAACACATGACGCTTAACATTATGATTAATATTAATGCATATATGTTGAAAACGCTAACTATGAAAATACATCATATAAGGTCAGATTTACTGACAAACATTAGTTTTATTTATAAGCGAAGATAGATGGTGGCTAACAGTAGAATCCAGGCTGCGCGTTTGTCTTATTTGCGACTCGTCCGCTGGATGTACATAAATCCTAAGGAAGATTTAAACAAACTTTACAAAATGAATTAATTTTGTTTATTTCAGAAATTTGTGTGTGGCTTTTAAAAATTTATGTTACGTGATTACCACATTTCGAGATAGATGGTTTATATAATTGGTTTGAAAGTATTATACTGGAAATAACTGGAAATAACGATTGTATTTAGATATGTTGTGCGCAACTGAGCCCTAAAACTATCAGAAAGCGACCCTCTTTCTTTCGGTGTAAGAAATTACTCTTGTTTTTCTTTTAGTTTGAACCGAAACAGAAAGGGTAATTCAAGAATGGTTAACTAAGGAACGTTTATCACGCTAACAATCAACCCAAAGTAAACTCGTCACATTATGCATCAACATAAATCAAAGTATAAAATGTAACAAATTCTCCCCTACAAAGGAATCCCTCCAGCCTAGACACTTTCTGTCGAAAGAGAAAGTATTTTATGAAGATTCAGGACATCCAAAGTATCTTGCGTGAGGTCCTGCAAACGTCATTGTTAACTTTTCTGACTCTAAACAATAGAGAAACGTGTATGCAGAAAACCGTGACAGAGAATAAAATCGTCAAATATCTTTAATTTATGGGGTTTTACGAAATCCTGTTGGCAATCCACTAATGAAACCCTAAACACCTACAATGGGTATGTGTGATCTACTATTCCGCTAATAAAAAATTACTATGCATCATAAATCATGTATACAGTAGGTAAATACAAAACAAGTATCATACGTAGGTATTGGATTTGGGTCTTGGAATAAATATTAGCTCTGGGATGCAGGACATGCAGCTAAGAAGTCCCAGATCTAAACGATACATGTACTAGACTCGACTAATAGCCACTTTTCATCCATTAGCTACCTTGAATCTGTTGCTAGACTCCTAGCTTAAGAGATTTCGTAGCATAACTCTGATCTGATATCACTATTTAGTTCATGTTTTGAAAACAATGTTTAGGTTGTTTGAATAGACAGCTTAATACAGTTACTGTAGTGATTGAATAAAATTATCTTGGTTATAGAAAATGTTTATTTGAGGGAGAGGAAATAAAAACAAAACTTCTATCTCCGTCATATCTTATTAAGCTATTTGAATAGCTGACTTACACTACTTTGAAGATCATAAATACCTAGAAGCTCTTGAACAGCCGTTTTGTTCTAATTTTAGCCTTCTCATCAGTCTGTACCAACTATCTAAAGTCGGGTAGAATTAGATTCTGTCTCTTCATGGTCCTGGCTTCTACTAGATACGAAATAATGTAGCCACTCACTTCTAAATGGTTAGGACCCATACAGAACTGCTACCTATTCTTATGTGGTTTTAGTGGTTTTCCAAATGATGTTGATTATTGTCAGGAATTACCTTCATTTTATACAAATCCCCCCCCCAGTAAACCACTTGATTTTTAACTAATAATGTTTATTTTCAGTCTTACCGAGTTTAACATTTTATGTTTTTAGAAAATTGCAGATTCTGCTTGCCTTGATGGAGAATCCTGGATTAATAAAAATAAAGAGGCTACACTCAGCATGCTAAAAACAAAAAAAGAACAAATTGAATTGATTGTAGAACCATTTTTACGGAAGAAATCATCAGTTATGTAGTGTGATGAAATAATATCTTATTGTATAGCGAAAACACAAATAACATTATTTTGCATTTACTATTTCAATACTGAGTATGCAACAGAATTTTAATTCAATAAGTGCATGCAGATCTGTTTGACAAATAGTTTACCAAACTTGTGCTCATCTTCGTGAACTGTTTAATAACTCACCAATGAATTGTTATCTGAATAACCTTGATTACGTTGTAGTGACCTACTTTTATGACGAGAACGCGATTGGTATAATGGATACATTTATCATTATAACCAATTGTACTAGTGATTGTTTTACTGTACTTGTTTGTTTAACTGTACCAAAAACACTTTTCCTTCCGTTGCCTGTGAACTTGTATGAACTCGCTTATGCTCAGCAGTCCGCTCGTAAACTTTGGCACGTCTCGGTATTCTTTCGATACCACGAGATCGCCAACAAATATATCTTATTGCAACCATTGACAGCTTTTTGGTTTTTGGATCCACACGGATTCCTGACACGTAATCTTCCTGTAGTTGTGATCATAGTCAATCGCGGCTCGAAGTCATCTACAACTTACTAGACTGCGACGTAGTAAAGTAGTGGAATTCCTGATATCCTAGCGAATCATTTCATCGAATTTTTTCTCCTTTAACACATTCGAAATTTGTATAGTTTACGTGGTCCAACAGTAGTTGCTTGTGAGTTGCATAAGGTAGTGAAATCGGCTTGTCTGGAAATGCCAAAGTCTTTATCAAGCTGCATGTTTCCTTCCTGATTAACTTAAGGAAATGAGTCACAATATTAAAATCCTCAATATCTTCCTTGGTCATAGCTCAGATTTCGAACCTCCCCATGTAATCCTCAAAAGCATTAAAATATGAATGTATATACAACCGTTCCATCACAGGCTCCATCACGACGCCAATGTGATGTTTAGGAGTATTTGAATTATGGTATAAACTCGTAATACCAGAAACAACGCAATTTAATCAAGAAGTATTAGATGAGCATGAACGAATGTATTGCACTTGAAATTCAAAACCAAGCAGTCAGCAATACCAGGGAATCATTGGTTCATTCAAACACCACAAAATATTTAGAGGTAACGATAGATTAAGTATTAGTATTCTGTCACTCCAAATAATTTTGTATCAATACCTTATCGTTAGTATGTGACATAAAAAAACCTAAAATAATCAGGCTAAAATAAGACGATGTGACGCATAAATACTGTATGTGATCAAGACTAACTGTAAATCAAGTGATTCTACGTATTTAAAATACATGAATACACTTTCTTATCACAGTAATTCATAAGATACAGGAAGTTAGCATTTTAGTGTAAAGAGCAGAGTTTTCCCAAGACTAGTAAGTCCATAAATAGAGCCGTTAGATGTCACATAATTGCGAATATTCGAGCATACATTTATGAATAGTTGTTGTCATAATGAGTGGAAGAAATTAAGAAACCAGGATGATTTAAGGTAAAGGAAGATAAACATTGTATTTCTGTGTAACAGAAACTCAACACACTTAGTTGAGTCAAACTTTCTCATCTAATATGTACATTCAATCAACCACTTAGGGAGATCTTAGGTATATTAAAACAACATGAATAAAAAATTTGGCTAGAGTTAAAGGCAGATTACCCATCTACTTTTTAAGGAAGGGAATTAGCTGTTCTGTTTTTCTATCCATCTTGACATACATGAAAAAGCTAGCCATAAGTCCAAAGTATCATGAAAGTGTTAAGTTTAAACAATGCATATACCAGTAAACAAAATTATGAGTATTATTTAGTTATGTATTTCTAGGCTGCAACAATAAATAAAGTAGAGGTTTAAATTTTCAAACTTTTAATTGCTCTCTGATTCCTATTTTCTTTAGTCTATACATTGAAATCCTATACTCCACATGATTCTTTTTGAAATATACAATATAGCTCAGTGATAATAAAATGATTCAAGCCTTTTATTATTCTTATCACAACTAGTACACCTGTCATTACATTACCAATTTGTACTTTCTACTTATTATTAATTTTGATTATGTAATCTATTCCACTGTTATCATTGACTCATAAACTGCCTTGATTGGTTTAATAATTTCGTATATGCATATAAATGTTACTGTATATTAGAGTATAGCCTGATGAGGATCTAATCGAAAACAATATTGTTCGCTTATATATGTTGTTCTAAAATGTATCTTGTTTATAAACAGTTGGTCATCAACTGTTGACCAGTGGCATATTTATCTAATAAAGCTTGATGAGTCCAGAATGAATCTTCCGGGAAACATCAGCTCCCTTAAGATTTTAGATCTATCATGGCGGTGAGTGATAAACAGTATAAAACCTAAGTTCGAGGTAGTCGCTTGATTGATTCGATGATTCATTCATTTCCATATATATATATATATATATATATATATATATATATATATATATATATATATATATATATATATATATAAATCCTGTCAACTGACTTCCGCACTTGTTCATTGACTCGATCACTCTCTCTCTCTCACTCGCTTGATTTTCGGCACTACCCTTTCATGTTTGCTTAACGTGCCTGTAATTTCGTCAATCTGTACGTGGTTCAATAATGAACGTAATCAACACTTCGTATTCACCTTCTGTTTTATACACCATTTGAACGTTATCTGGGAACGATTATCAGGACGACAAATATATGAAGTTTAACGATAATGTCGAATACAGATCATCACAGGTTTATTATGCTACTATACATAAGTGAGCAACAACTATGAGTAGTTATTAAATAATTAGTGAAATAATGCAAAGTCTACAACATTGGCTAACAGTTTACGGATTCAATCATTGTTTATACACTGACATCATGAAGTGAATCACTTTAGAATATGTTATTATTGTTATAGACCTAATAACTTTTTAAAGTTCTTTTTGAATATAGTTGAGATCACGAGTAAATTGAAGCTAGACCACTATTGAAAACTTGGAAGCACTTTACAGCCGTTTCGTCCTATTGTGGGACTTCTCAACAGTGCGAATCCACGATCTCGCCTCACGAGATTCGAAACCAGTGCTTCCAGGTTTTCCATGGTGGTCTAGCTTCAATTTACTTGTGATCTCAACTATATAAAATTACTAAAATCTCCATAAAATCCCCCTTCTTTTTGAATAGTTAATTTAATTTAATCATTTCAAATAAAACTTAAGATAATATATTTGTACAAATTTAAGTTGCATATTCAATACTAATAAAAACCAAAATCAGTAGTATTAAAAGTAGTTTTGTTTTTTCTTCTGTGAAAGATTGTAGTCTTACAATTATTAAATAAACACACAATTAATAATTATAATAACATTGTAGAGATTGAAATGAAGAATTAAAAAGAACTTATCATTTAATTTTCTTTTAAATAATCAAAAAAAAAACAAGAAAAAACATCAGCTTTTATTCGTCAGTCATCAAAAATGACCAAGATGATCCAAGAAGAAGAAGGAGAAGAAGTAGAAGTTTATCATTTAAAGATTCAAAGGAGACATATTATCATAAGTCAACTGAAATACAATTAGAAATGTTAAACTTTACATTCGTATAAAAGTTGTATGAATATTAAATTTTACAAAAAAAAGAAAAAGAAATAAGGAAAAAAGAATTCACAAAGATGTATGTATTCTAGTCTTGTAATGATAAACTAATTTGGGGGGGTTATTTTTCCCGTATGTAATCATTTGAGGAATGTTATTTCAGAAGTAATTACTATTCGAAAGAAATAATTCATGAATGTCGACGGTTTTTCAACTGTAAAAGATGAGAAAGAAAATGCTCATTTAGTTTAACATTCAACTTATAAACCGGAAATATTAGTTAAGAGAGTAAATGAGTATAAAATAACAATTTAGAAAAAAAACACTGAATTTAGCCAGGCAGGTAGAAAGAAAGAGGGAAAAAACAAAAGAATTTAAACAAAACAGTCAGATAGATGGGTTGATCTGATTTCAGTGTTATCTACATTTGGAATGGTAGAGAAATCATCAGTAATGTGTTGATTTTGTTGTTGTTGTTCACGGTTGAACTTGTTGGAATTTAATAATCTAGACGTTTCAAGATTTTCATTGTTTCCTAAATTGTCTGGTCGTTCATTATATTGGTTTAAATTAGAGATAAGATGATTATTTTCAGTATTATTCAACAATTCAATCTTGTGCATATTTGATTTGGATTTTGATAAGCAAGATTGGAAGTTGTTTATATTGTGCTCTTCTTGAGAAGGTGATAAATTAGAATCAGGACTTGAATGATCATTTTGTGCGTTGATGTTACCTAATAAAAGCTGTAAATTAAAGAAACATTGGTTGTTTGTAACAAAATACATTGTAACTTTGAATAAAATATATTACTGCTTATATGAAATTGGGGTGAAATGGCTGCATCGAGGAGATCCGATCAGTATGTAGATACACCAACCAAGAATGACGAGATGTCAGTTAGAATGTGAACAATGCGACAAACCATTTTGGTAGCTAAATGGATAATGTGATGGCAACTGGAGCGAGCGGTAATAGGTTCGGCCCCCCGAGTGAACCTCAAGTTGTATGCAAGTAAATCCAACTGGAGAGTCCTACACAGGGCAAGACGAGGGTCTTAGACTTCAGTTTTAGTTACATTCCATCTACTATACATTTGAAATTAATTTTCATCATTAAATTAAGTTTATTTAAGTTTATTTGAATCTTCCCATCGATTTGTTATAACTGCAGCTGGCCAGTCTCTAACAATACTGAATGAATTTAAACTTCACCCCATCGCACAAGCAAGTGGCTACCAGGACTCAGTGGCCGAGTGGATAACGCGATGGCGTTTGAAGCGAGGGTTGTTGAACATACATAACATATGTCCCACCTCTACCATTTAGTGAAAATTTACCTCATCTTCATCCTATCCCCAACCTTGGGATTCATTGGTCGGTGACCCAAAATACACAAGTGTTGCTTCGAAGACACTTGTAGTCGAATACTAGTAACCAACGAATCTCCTGTATTCATATCTGTGAAGTAGAACGGTAAACTCATTCTCTGATTGGCGGATAGACATCTCGCATGTACCGTAAAAGATGTAAGTTAGCAAAATCGAACTGAGCTTCCTGAGTCTGTGCTGAGATCTTACCAAACACCAGCCCATCAGGACTGATGAGACTTCCAAGGTTAGTGAAGTGGTCGGTACTGTTAACCACTTCACTAACTATCATTGATTTAAGTGCTAACTTAGGCCAGTCCTGAAGCAAAATTTGTATTGGGAAAGAAAGAATCGTTGATATTCAAACCATTTAAAAGCAAGTCAGATCTTTAAGATCATTGGTTTGTTTTCAGAGTTGCTAAGTAGATTACAACTGGAAATAAAGAATTATGAAAAATAATAAACAAACCTGAGCAGTCGGCCCACCACCGTACTGAATACGTCTAAGTTGATCCGCATAACGACTACGATCAGAATCCTTGTCCTCTTCAGAAAAATTGTCTAGAGTATTGGATTGAGAAGTGGTTAAAAAACGAACGTGATTTAGATTGTCATTAAAATAGTCTTTTATATTTATTGTCTTAAACTTATCATATCACTGAATAGTTTCAGGATATACTTGAACAAATTAATAAACTGATTAATTGTACAGTAACCTTTAAAGAGCATTTTTCTAAACCTTCAGTTTTTTTCAAGTGTTCTGGTTTCACTTTTGATAAATTAAGCTGTTACTAGTATCTTGTTTTCTAGACCACTATTGAAAAGCCGGAGGCACTGAACGGCTGTTTCATTCTAGTATGAACTTTTCAGCAGTGCACATCCACGCTGGACTCAGGTCAAGGACCTTCAGCTTCGCGCGCGAATGTTTAACCTCTAGATCGCTTAGTTGACGTCCAATGTTGTTGCGCACTGCTCAGAAGTCCCACAATAGGACGAAACGGCTGTACATTGCCTCCAGTGTGGTTGGTTGTCTAGCTTAGATCGACTCGTATTTTCGAATTATCTTATCAAAGTTATCTGATTAAATATCTGTAAAAGTATAAGTAAATGAATCCAGAATTTTAAAAGCTACCTTTTGATTAGTTTATGACGAGAAAATGTTTTGTATATTTGAGGTTGACTTCATGTTTAGAAACCTACAAGTAATGCTTCTAATAAAGTGAGAGTTCTTAAAGACATATTCAGTGTCATTCTAGACTGAAAAAACTATTTCAAGACAGGATGAAATTTAGACTGTTTTGCTCTCCTGCTTCCTGTATGTAACTAACACAGCCTATTATCTTAAATATTTCCAAAACTTATGTTACTTTTAAAAGTGTGACCCATATTTTTTCAGATATTAGAACCTAACAATAGTTTTTCCTTTATTGAGTGAGTTTTATGTAGAGAGGAAAATAGTTTACAAACAACATTATCCGTTTTACATAAGAACTTTAGTGTAAATTTTATCAATTAGTTTCACAGTATTTGGGCACCGAGCTGATGCATGACATTAAGGAGGAAGAATTTATTCATCAAATCTCAGCGAATAAATTTGAAATAAATCCAATGCTTCGCTTGGCAATCTGGTCCAAACGTTTTCAGGGAAATATAATCAAACATCAAGATTATTGAAACATTATCTATTATTTATATATGTCAACGTCAGTGGTTTCCATTATCTAATCTTCATATGATCCAAATGGATGATTTCTACGTCAGATATGAAGTTACTTGTTTTCAAATATTTATTTACACAGCGGTCACAACAACGATATTTCATGTACTTAAGGGTGCATCGATCTTAACTCATTCAGAATACTTCACATTCATTGAATGCATTTATCCCATGTTTTTTTGTTTTGTACAACAATATCTACTAAAATCCTCTTAAGTTAGGCTCTTCAAATGTTTCTTTGTCTGGCGCTTGACGTATTTCGTCTTCTTAATATGAATTACTTTACTAATTCAGTTCAGTAGTAATATTTCAGAAAGTTAACCAGAGAAAATTACCACAGACCGTGCACCTGAAGCTTTTGTCAACACAAATGGTTTACAGTCCTTCCAGGTTTCTGTTGTTTTTGTAGTCATCACGGCTCTCATTGAAACATTTGATCTGCTTTATGAGAGAAATTTTTCTTTCATGTTCTATCTCCATGTACAACATCGAAAGTTCCATGAATTGTTCGGAATTTTTTGCTAAATTTCACAGTGTACCCAGGTGAATTATTTCACGTGTTTAATATACAGACTATGTGACTTACAATCCTGGAGATTTAATGTAGGATTAATTAAGGTCAAAGTTTGTTCACAGAAAACTAATGTGTATATTCGACAAGACGGACTGGTTACAATTATATCTACTTAAATTTCTAACTTATAACTTATAAGTATAAATGATAGACTTACCAATAACAGAGTTCTGAGTGTTTAGTGTATGAAATGATTGCTTACTATTATATAAACTTGATCTTGATTTCAAGCATGTAGAACAAGAATATGGTAATCGTTTATGACATTGAATTTGATTAGGTTTATGCATAGAATATTGTTGTCCACAATTACATTGATTTTGATTAGTAAATAACTCACTAGATATTGCATGAGTAAGATTGTTAACACTTTGTCGATTTTCAAAATGAGGTACATTTTTTCTAGACGTATTCGATTGAATAACTTCTCTTGATGAACAAAAATAACGTGTACTTCCAAAATTAGGTTTTGTCTTGGAGTGATACAATGGAATATAGGGAATTATTGAAGAGATAGAATACCATTATAAACAATTCTTAATATAGTTAACTTATACAACATAGTAATTAGGCATGCATATAATGTTCAAATCATTTAGGAAATATTTACTATCTAAGGAAAGAATAGAAAGCATATTAAATATGTTGCACCGGGACGTAGCTTGAAACTAGAACCTGATCTGTATGTACAGGTGTTGGTGAATGAATCATTAGAGGAGTAACAGACATTTCACCATTAACCTCATATAATTTGTTATTATCTTGGGTACAGTTCATCAAAGAATTTGACATCAATAGGGAATTCGATGCACTGGGATCAAGAGATAAGAATATAGGTGTACATGATGGACCTATATTATAGTTAAATGGTGCACTATATGAAAATGTAGTTAAATCTGACCCTAATTCCATTGATTGAGAATTGAAGTGATCTGGAAAAGAGGTTACATTTATAGAGACCATAGGTGAATTCTCACCAGGTATATTGTTTGTATTAAAAAATCCATTAGTCAAATTATCTCTTTCACTGATATTATTATTAAATTCAGATTTTCGTTTAATCTGTGAAAATGCAGCTAATCCAGTAGATAATATTTCTGTTGAACTATCAGCTGTTTGATTAGGAATAACATTATGAACTGATGAATCGATTGAATTATTAACTATAGTTAAACCTATACTATTACTATCTACAGTGACTGAATTGTTAATAGAAGCTGTAGAAGAAATTATAGTTTGTAGTTGTGTACAATCTTTCATTTTATTATCAATAATAAACTGATCATTTGTTATTTTTCTATAGGAACTAAGATTTTGAAGTGTCTGAATTTATTTATTGAGTCACAACAACAACAACAGCAACAACAAAATAGATATTACAACAGTAGGAGACAACAAACGAAAAAAAGAAAGAAAAAAGAGAAAAAGGAATCATTGAATATGTAGTAGAAATATGTAAAATATTTAAAATCATTATTAAATTATCAGAAGGGGGGTTTGTGAAGATTTTAGTAATTTTATATAGTTGAGATTATGAGTCCCACAATAGGACGAAACGTCCGTCCAGTGCTTCTAGGTTTTCCATAGTGGTCTAGCTTCAATTAATTCATGAACTCAACCATTATTAAATTATTCATACAAAATTTTATCATGTTGATGGGTATTGAGAACTGTGTACTTCTTTGGTTATTGTTTATGTGAATTGTTGTGCAAGTACATCAGTGAATATACTTTTTCAGTAGTCACTTAATATGCAAAACTGGTTCACTATTATTTTTAATATCAGTATATTCTGTTACATCTTGTAGTTCTGATCATATTACGATCAGAGTTTCCCACATTTGAAAATTGTGATCAGTTTCGGTAAGCGCTTTTAGTTATGTTTATATTGATTTATATTTGTGCATTAATCTCAATGATGTCAGTTAATTAAGATATTAAGAGTTAGTCTGAACCTTGTTGAACGAATACGATTATCCTAACTAGTGGTTGGAGACGTTGGCTAATGTGTTACAGAATCGCTCATTATGTCCCAGATGGATTAAATATTTTTTTTCCTTTGACATAATTGTATACCTTCTTTTTTCCACAAAATGTATTGTTTATACCTGCTCTTTTCTGCTGCAACTGTTACTGTGGTGGAAATTACTCACAAGAATGTCAGTACATAGTAACTTCTAGCAATAAATACACATTCCCCTCTCCTATTGTCGTGTTTTATATTTCCACTTCTAGTATCCTGGTATTTTCTTTGATAATTATATATCACTGAGCTAATATACTGCATCAACTTAAACTGAAGCCAGTATGTATTGGGTTCTTCATTAGTTATAACTGATTATTTAACTAAGTTTAGTGACTAACTAGCTTACTGTAGTTAAGTGATCATATTCAAATAAATTTTTCATAGCACTAACACTTATAATTTTTCTACAAGTATTCGGACTCTAAAATAAACAAATCTGGTGAAAAAGAGTCCAAGTAATCTCCGAAAAGAAGTTAAATACAGTCAGATGATCTGTTAAAAACCTCAATGAATAACTGACGTTACCTCAAACAAATGGTATGTTTTCTGCTACTTACTGCTGGGAACTACTAAACAATGGTGTCAGTTAACATTCAAACCGTCCATCTTAGCTTCTGTACAGGAAACGATATAATGATTCAAATGTTTTATGCTATACATTTTTGGATAAATCTTTATTCAATAAAAAATAGCTTACGCCATAGTAACGAGACTGATTTGGTTGCCTTGGAGTGTGTTGGCCATAGCGAGTAGAATGTTTTATGCTTCCATGTTCATGTCTCAATTGATTAACTGGGTTTGCTGATGAATAAACTATTCCGAATTCAGTAGAACCATGACGAGTCATTGGATAATTCAGTGTATTATTGTAATATGGATTTGGAGATGTTAGATGGCGAACCGGATAACTTGTTGTCATTTGATTAGAAGTTAAGTGATTAAAATCTGGATTACTGCTTGTAATGTTATGATTCATCAAATGTCCTTGTTGATCAACGTCTGTAGGTATATACTGAGGACATTGAGATGGACAAATATCATGGGGTGCATAACCATGTGTACGGGAAAAATTACCATAAGAGTCTGCTTTTACATAACCTAATAAACAAATAATAATATTGAACAGTAAATGGGTGATAATTAAGCTGTATTAGGGGTTAAACAATATCATTTAATTATTAACAATTTCACAAAATGCTTCTAAAGCACCAAAATATATTTGTAAACCATTCTCAAGGCTTAGTATTCTAATCAAGAATCAAAGGAAACAGTAGAAACTGACATGAATATGGGTTTTATAGTCTTGAAATATTTGGTACTTTGTGAATTTAGTAGGACTGTATTTAATTCTGTTGAGGCAAACGTCTTAGCAAATGGAGTAAGTCACTGGACGAGATTGTTTGACCCATATGTTATGCCTAATGATCGACCAATAGATCAATGTTCCATACTTACTAAAGCTTTTTAACGTTGGGAGAGAACTAAGAACAGTCAAACCAAAACAAATCACTGCTTCACGAAGTTACTAATTACTGACTTGAGAGTTAAAAGAAATTACAACCCTTTTGTCTGACATTATTGAAATTATCAGAATGAGGGATTCGTGGAGACTGTAGTAGTTTTAAATGTTGAATTCATGAGTCAATCTAAGATCTGGACAGCCGTTTCCTCCTAGTATGAAAGACCTTAGCAGTGCGGGACCTTGAATGCGCACTTCGAAGGTGTCATATACTAGGACGAAACGGCTGTCTAGATCTACCTTTTCAGTGATCCTCATGAGGTCGATCTAGCTTAGATCAACTCATGAGTTTAACTGTTAAAATTATTGAAATTATAAAAATCAACTGTTAGCCGTTAAACACTTAGTATTAAGGGTTTCACCTTATCAGACTTGCAAAATTCATTCACGAGAACCTGTATGGACACTAAGAGTAACGACTACTTTTTGCACTTTGTTTCTCATATTCTAGCATTTTAAAAACCCGACAGTTAAATTTTGATAATTATCAAATAATAATTATGGTACTTGTCAATATTAAGTAGTATAAAGTGAAAATGAATCAGTTTTTGACCTTCAATAGTCCACTAAGGTACATGATCCCTTAAGTTGTAAACAGTTATAAACTAGCAGCCGTGAGAAGAATATCATATTTATGAACGTATATACTTATGTTAGACCTGAAAAGCTCGAGTAAATAGTTCGCAGTGAATAAACTCTGGCTGCTAGATCCAGAAAAGCTGGAAACAAGATAGTTATTAAGCAGTGATAGTAGATGAGGTTTACACTCAGTAGTAAATTGAATGAAGTTATAAAATCTGAAAAAACGAGATACTGACTGTCCCAAGTGTCTACCACTAGTGAAACTGAAATTGTGGTAAAATAACTATCCAGTGTTTCCTTACTTTCAATCGTTTACAAGCTCATAGTTAATTCTCTCTTGCGATGGAAGAAATCTCTAGATATAACCATATAAATTATTTGCTTAATTCTAGAAGATTAGAAGACGAATTTCATTTGTTTCATCTTTGATTATAACAACTTCACTAAGGAATAGATGAACAATTTAGTATATGCAGGCTAAGGAGCTTACGGAATCTTATTGTCGATGAATAAATATAATTAGGACAAAACATAGTCTAGAATGTATATTTTTCATCTTCTAAAGTGGTTCACTTTATTATTATTCCTAAGATTATGAAAAAAAAGCTTTCACAGGGTAGAAAGTAAAAAGCTATCAGTATAGTTAGCGCATGTTCTAAATTAAAAATGGATTTGGATGTGAACAGAAATTTGAGTAGAGTCAACTAGCCCCCAAATGCTCTGGTACGGCCGAGAGTGGGGAGAGTACGCTCTCCCTCTCGAAATGCTCTCACATGGCCACGCATATGTAGCCTCTGACAAGAAAGTCCTACTCACTACCTCCTCGTGGCATTACTGTTGTTTAGGAAATTGAGAGGACGAAAAGCGAATGTCTGGCGCTTTGACCGGGTTGTTGGACACTGTGAGTCCACCTAGGAGAGTTTGGAAACCCTGGTTCCTAACCAGTGGTGCACATGGGCTCCAGAATCCTGAGGGAACAAATGGAGTATGAATCAATCGTTGGTCATCTGTACCATGGGACTTCATCTCCTCACGATGCTCCACTGCCCTGTGGATCAGATCTTTAAGTCAAAGGCTTGAGGTGTGGTCCTCTAAGCAAACCACCTTCTTCAGTTTCAGCACATGAGCAGTATCACAGTCCTCAGACAAATCAAATGATATTTGTGTGGCGTATATATATTTGGTGCCCCTTTGTACCAATATTTATGTGTTTAAATAAATGTTTAAATAAGAAATAAGAGTCAACTAACTGGTTGGTACTATTTAGTTGGAAGTAATTTATAAAATTTACATAAATGTTCTCATATATTTTTTCACAGGTAAACTAGGTGTCATTTAGTAAGAACTCCTTCATACTTCATTTAGTTCATGTATGAACAATATATCACTGATTGACGGTAAACTCTGTATTGAAATAATCACATACTGTATATTTGTGACAATATAGTTATGTCTAACAGTAAAGCCTTGTTGTATGATATGTGATTTCTAAGTTTGGTACGGTCAGACAATTCATTCTATATGATGTTGATTGTTTAAACTAACTATCAATAAATTACAAAGTAAAGTTTTCCAACAGTAGATTTGTACATGACTATTTACTTATCTAATTAGCTTTTTTATTTTGGTTGAGATTCATTATTTTATTATTATCACTACTGTGGTGTGATCTACTTATATCTATATAATTAGTATATGATGATGGTCAGGCATGGAATGTATTTTGGCAGAAGACCGATAAGGAAAAAAACTGAAATGAAGCGCGAGTGGTAGGAAAATACATGAACAATGAAATTAGAGAAGATGAACTGATATTTACAGAAGGAACAGTTAAGATTAAGACAATTGATTGTTATTTTGCAAATTAACTGTTTGCTGTATGGTTATTAGAATTTAGTGAGATAGTCTGTCATTTTTGTCTAATTACTTTCGATTGTCCCCGACCGGTGTTCACTACACTACTATTATTAGCTTTATTCAATATCATATTTTTAGTACAATATAGAATTCTCAGCACAAAATATTTTAACAAGATCTCGTGTTTTACTTCTTGGTCGATCCTGACGATAAATACGGAGTGATTGCAAGATCGAAGTTAGCAATCCAGTCAATCAACATTTGAATAATGTACATTCTTTTCTCTGCCTACATATTGCCAGCAACCACGATGCTTCTCATTGAGCCTTTTGTAACTTGTACAACGAAGGGTTGTGCACTTTTCAGAAACGCACCTGAATAGGTTATGCGATTAATGGACATAATGATGTATTAAAACAAACAAAATTGTATAACTTGTTGAAATATCTAGATAGCGGGAACAGATAGCCCAGATATTCAAACATGCCGATGAATGATATTACATAACTGTGATGAATGAGCTTTCTTGAAGGGTTTGGGAATGTTTACAACATAAATTAACGATTAGTAAACCACTAGATTGTGCTTTATAGAATACTTAAGTGTTTAATTATTACAATGGATATTTTGGATTACAAATCCTTTAGGAAGTTATTCAGTTTCTTATAGATGATGATATATTCATATAACCATAGACCCCATCGGTCAACTCCTTAATGGGATAATAATTTCATTTAAATAATGGATACATAATACTTAGGTATATCAACTAAACTGTAACAAGAATTCTTTTAAATACTAATGGCTTTTTGCTTCCCAATTTGATTATCAGTTAATTTATATAGAGATAGTAAGTCAATAAAAATCATTTTACCTGAACTTGCTAGTTTTTGTTTGTTAGGATGACAACATATACATGTTGTACTAATATCTGTATCCATAAAATTATCATTTTGATCAATAAAAGATGATTGAAGATGTGATTTCATATCAGTACTAGTTTGATTATGATGTGTTAATGCAACTCCATTTGTCATAGTAACTCCTTGATCAGATTTATATTGTCGTCTTCTCATCATATTACGATAACGACGTCGTTTAATTAAGAAAATAATAACTATGATATTAATAAGAAGAATAACAAATCCAAAAACACATGCAGATACTATGATTAATAGAGCATTGTCATCTGAATAACCAGAAGTTGATAAGGGTGGCATAGGTTCACGACCATTGTATAAATCTACTATATAATAAAAGTTAATAAAAATAAATTATTCTAAAAATTACCGTTAAGAAAATAAACTAAATCATCACACTCTTTATCTTTGAAGGTATCTATTCAACTGTATAGTTTAAGTGAATGATCTAAATTCGTGGAACTATGAAATTTTTTTCTATTAAAAGTCGTAATTATGAAACATATATGTAAATGATTTCTGACACTTGTTAGTGTAAACATACGTCATTTATGGTAAGCAGACGAAGCGTTCAAAGTAATCTACATAGAAAGATTAGATTGTAAAGAAAACTTGTGAAAGTTTACAATTACATTCACTTAGTATTGTTTGTTTGAATCTTCTCATTGATATTTAGAACTGCATCTGGTCAGTTTCTTATTGGCATTTGTGCATACTGTGCGTATTGCTTCGATATAGCCTTATTTCACAATCATTATAAGCAAATATGGATAGTAGCTAGCAGTAGAATCCAGGACGCGCGTTTCGTCCCATTTTGGGACTCGTCAGCTGGATGTACCTGCACAGTTTACTATAAATTTTCAAAGTGACGTAAAAATCATTTCAAGAAACAACAATAATATTCTTTAAATGACTGGTATAACAATATCATGGCTTAATTACAGTTCAAGTTATTACTATTATGATTATATAATAATGAATAAAAAGAAACTGTTACATGCCTAAATTAATTTGAAATATGTCACTTGATATAATACTAAATAAATAAATATCATTATGTTTAGAATAATACTAATACAGTGCTAATAACGTTTTGGTGAGAGAGAGCCCTACGACCAAACCATCCATCTGCGAGGACTAAATTCCATCAAAATTATCCACCTGAGCTACAAATCTTCCCCATCATCTCATAGTTTTAATAACGGAACTTATCTCTGGTAAAAAACTCACGTGATAGTGTTCTTAAATGAATAGGGTCTGTGTAGGCACTAGCTCCATGTTTTGAATTCATGGAATTCACACTGACTATGTATTCACTTCCAGGTTTTAAACCTATGAATAAAAAAATGTAGCAAAGATATTAGAATATTTCTAAAACTAGTACAAGTAATTAATATACTGAAATATGTATTACGATTAAAAGAATTCGTGAAAAAATAAACAAAATACAGTTGAAACTGAGAGAATAGAATAGATCGTTTTTTTTATTTTTTCACAGTCAGAATACACTATACTTAACGGTTCCCAGTTGAAAGTTGTTCATTAACATCAACCTTACCGATGTTAATAATAACAATAAAACTGAATTATAAGTAAAACTATAACCATAAGGACTGATAAACGTTTACTTATATAAGTTAAATATTGAAGAAACCACCCAACTGCATCACATGACAAGTCCTCACATGGAATCCTGAAGGCCAAAGGAAAAGAGGAAGGCCAAAAAAACACATCACGCCGAGTAATGGAGACAAACATGAGAAGAATGAACGAAAGTTGGATAGAACTAGAAAGAAAGGCTCAGGAGAGAATGGATTGGAGAATGCTGGTCAGCGGCCTATGCTCCATCGGGAGTAACAGGCATAAGTAAGTAAGTATATAAGTTAAGTATAACAAAAAAATTAAAGTAAACAAGATTATCCTTTAGTTATTTCGATAATTATTTTATTTATTTTTTTAATGAGTTCGGTAAATTCAAATTAATTTTTATGTAAAATGGGTTATTATTATTATTCGAAAGTTGAATGTTCTGCGTTTTTTTTCTTTTTTTAAAGTGTAAATACTTCCCAAAATTTTACGTTTTAGGAACAATAATTACAAATGATTTAAGTTCTCAAAGCTTTACTAAAATAGATGAAAAATATATTCATGTTATGTATTGTGTAGTATATTCTTTTACAAACATACTGTGTAAATGTATAGTAATAATTGTTAACTAGCGTAAGAGAAAATTTTTTGATGAATACAATTATATCAAAAGGAGTTTTGTGTATACTATAGTAAATTTAATAGTTGAGATCATGAATCAATTGAAGCTAGACCACTATGAATCGGTTGAAGTTAGACATTAACACCATTAGATGACGGCCGGCTCAGTGGTCTAGAAGTGAATCGCTTGCGCACGGAACTGATAGGTCCCGGGTTGGAATCTCGCGAGGTGGGATCGTGGATGTGCACTGCTGAAGAGTCCCACAACAGGATGAAACGGCCTGTCCAGTGTATCCAGGTTTTCTATGGTGGTCTACCTTCAATTGACTCATTATTTCAACTATAGAAAATTACTAAAATCTCCACAAAACTCCCTTCTTATTTGAAATTTCGTTAATTTATTTCAAACTTCATTTTTTCATTATTTGTCTTTGAATTACATCGGCTGAAAAAATCGAATATTTCATTCGTTTTTCACTAGATCGTTCTACTTATAGATAAATGTAATCAGAAATCTATGTTATCCATCTACTCTAAGTTGCCGAACAGTTCAACACAGAGAGCATTATGTTTTGTAATTCATATATGATAATCTTAGATGTTAATTAAAGGTGAAGTTTACAGAACATAAACTATTGAATGAATAAATTTCAGACAATGACAAATCATCTCTTACTGAACAATGCTTATGTTCTTTTCAGATGTAATCGGATTTATTGATAAATTGTAACTTGTTTTAGCTCATATTTTAACAGGTTTTACATCAGACATCGCCTAGTAATTTATAGCTAGAGTAGCATTCAAAAGAAAGATGTTTATCGCAATTTTAAACATAGTTATGATAGCCATCAGAAGTTTGTATTACAACATTTATGTCAACAGTGATTATCTCAGCATGATTTTATATGAATAAACACTTTACAAGGATTATTTATAATTTTGAACAATGTGTATCAATTTCCACTTATAATCATTATAAAACGATGAAAATAAAGTCCTTTTTTTATATATAAGCTTTACATCTTGACTAAAATATTCTGATTAGTAGATCAAGTGAGAAATAGAAGACGTAGATACATATTGAATATTTTATAGTTGAAATAATGGGTCAATTGAAGATAGACCACAATAGAAAACCTGTAAGAACTGGACGGCCGTTTTGTTCTATTTTAGGACTCCTCAGCAGTGCGCATCCACGATCCCGCCTCACGAGACTCAAACACAGGACCTATCAGTCTAAAGCGCGAGCGCTTAACCACTAGACCACTGAGCCGGCCGTCATCCAACGGTGTTAATGTCTTACTTCAACATATTGAATATTCAAATAATATATTAAAGCAATTAGTCCCTTTCATAAATTTCGATAGTGTAGTATGAAGAAGAAGATTATCAGAACTATATGATATAAATTGCCAAACATATAATCGAAACAGGCCATAAGATTGATCTGAACTCAGCTTTTGAGGTGTATAAAAGTGTGAAAGGGCAAATACTGAGGTTAATTAAAGCCTTAGCCATAAGAAAACTCAAACCCCTTTGGCTATTCAAAGACAGTTTGTTCTCACCTTAAACCTACCCTGGTAATAAATGCTTATTATCCAGAGTGATTAGGTGTCAAGTTGTTTTCCCATTATTTTATCATTATTATCCTTGTCTATTTCTTAACCTTATTACCAGTCTAGTTGACCTTTTATTTTTATATATAAATGTTCTTAACAAGTATATTTGTGATCAGATTGTTCGAAATGTATTGCACTAATACATAACATAGTTCTGATAATCTTCGTTTTCTTATTACACTATCAAAATAATATATTAATCTAACTAGTAATACTTTTGTAAAAAATAGTTACAGACGAAATATTTCACAAAATCAAGACATCATTTAAGACTAAACATACCAGTAATGATGTACTCAACTCCATTTCGGTTATCATTTGATGCTACATCAGCATATTTGTACAAACTAATTGAACCAACTTCACGCCAACGAATCTGTCAAATAATAGAGTTGATTGTAAGAAAATAAAATAAATTAAAAGTCAATTTAAACTCTAATAATTTACAGAAATAGCATTTATATTAAATTTAGCTGAATGCTGAAAAGTCGCTGTATGAACACTACTATAAAGGTTGTAAGTTGACTCTAGGAATAGGTTATACGAATTTGAAATTTTAGTAAGGAATCAGTTATCTAAAGATATATACAAGTCAATAATAAGAATTGAACTACTTGACAATATAATTCCCATTTAAACATTAAAATTAAAAACACCAAGTTCATCGAAGGGATCTCTTTTCAACGAATTTATTATCAAGCTGTACAATCGTATATATATGAAAATGTTTTGTTAAAGTACTGATTTCGTGAGGAAATGTGAACACAAATAAGCAAGATGACGTAATAGAAGGATTATAATACTAGATCACGTCATCTTGGTTATTTGTGTTCACATTTCCTCACGGAATCAGTACTTTGACGAAACATTTTCATATATATACGATTGTACAGCTTGATAATAAATTCGTTGAAAAGAGATCCCTTCGATGAACTTCGTGTTTTTTAATTTTAATACTTGGCAATAGTTTCCTGAAACATGGATTGCTTATAACCCAAGTTTATTAAGTTTTGTTTGAATTCGCGGTAGTGGAATACGTGAATTAATCAAGATAATCAGTTACTAATCTTACGCGAAACATGTAAATTATATCAAAACAATATTCAGTTGTAGTTTCAAACATTTATATTAGACATGAAAGACTGTTTTAAGTGTCCTAATCATTAGTTTACTGTATTTTCTTTAATGAAATCCCTACTAAATAATTACAGCGAATATGTATATCAGTTAATAATAGGTGTTAATGTTTCGGAAATGTCTGCTCAGTATATTATATGTTCTACATAACACTACGGATGCTTTCAATCTTCTACGATATTAACCTCATCTTCATAAACTAGGTTCACAAGGAAGTCTATTGACGAAATAAATTGTATGCATGACCCCTAGTTTGATTACGCTTGATTCTAAAGTAATTCATTATTTAATCATAAAAATCAAATTAAATTCAGCGGTTTATCATAATATCAAAAGTAATAAGAATTTAGGTGAGATAAATTTACTTGGTATTGTTTGTTTGAATCTTTCCATTGATGTTTAGGACTGCAACTAGTCAGTCTGTTATTGCTATATGTACATACTGTGCGTATTGCCTTGATATAGCCTTAATTCACAAGCATTGTAAGCAAAGATGGATAGTGGCTAGCAGTGGACGAAACGCCCGTCCTGGATTCCACTGCAAGCCACTATCGATCTTTGCTTATATATATGATGACGCTTTGATATTTTGAAAAACAGATGGTTGATAAGAGACTTATTTGCTATGATCCTTATTGAATAGAAAGTCAAAACATTTGTGGTCAAATTGCGAAGTTGATTGTCCTTCCAATGATATTAATCATTTGCAACTGTCCTGACAAGTCATACTGAATATCTCTGATTAACATGCGTTTAAATGTAGTATTTAATTCAATCTACTGTGGTTATTATCACTTCATTGGGCAACGTTTCGTCAACACTGTTATAGGATATTAACTTAGAGTCTCAAATTTATGTAACACTTTATTGAAGGCCTTCTTTTAAGATTTTCCAAAAGTTAAATGTTTTTTTATATAGATATTTAAAACACAAAAAGGCGAACCTGAAAAGTTTGTGCCAATCCACCATCAAAACCTTGAGTCCAGGCAACATGTAAAGTTGATGAGGTTGCATTCAGAAGGCGAAAATTTATCGGTACATCTGGGGTAGATGTTCCAGACAAATGAATTTCTAGTTGAGCTTCACCTTGTAAGTTAGCAGCCTATAAGAGAAAATGTTAGTAATAGGTTCCAAGATCATAATTAAGCTGAGCTATTGTAATGTATGAAAAAAAACTATTCGATTCGATTCTTGCCTAATGATATATTCTAGGTAAAAATTGTGAATTTTGAAAAAGATAACTGACGTTTCAATCAACAGGTTTTATGCTTTTTAGCGTACCTAAAAAGATTGTCATACTGAGTGCAAACAGTCATACTCTTCATTACCATAAAAAAATAATATACAGAAAAGTACTTTTGCACTATAATGACACTGACTAATTGCCTAATTGCCTACATAATTAGATTAAGTAAATACATTTACTCGTGGAGAACTACTATAACCATCATCAATAAGGTACAAGTATTTATAAATAGTTGTCTACGCAAGATACTCAACATCGATTGATCAGATATCACTAGCAACAGTCTTCTTTGGGAGAGGACAAACCAGCTTCCAGCTGAAGAGGAAATTAGAAAAAGACGTTGGAAGTTAATAGGACATACATATAGAAAATTACCAAACTGCATCACGAGGCAAGTCCTAGCATGGGATCCGAAAGGGAAGCGGAAAAGAGGAAGGCCAAAGAACACATTACGTCAGGAAACAAGATATATGAAAAGGATGAATGACAACTAGAAAGGACTGGAAAGGACTGCCCAGGGCAGGGTTGGTTGGAGAGTGATGATTGGCGGCCTATGCTTTTCACGAGGGGTGATATACGTAAGTAAGTAATTAAAATAGATTTATTCCTGAGAAAATGATGCTTTTAGATTTCATAACTGAATGTAAGTATTTGAGTAGGTCAGTTTACTTTTCTTGAGATGTTTCTAGAAGTTTGTTTTGGTTGTAAATGGTTTCTGACACAGATTGGTATGTTTTATTGTCTTCCTATTTAAGGAAAAATAGATATCCAGTGACTTCTGGTTTCTAATGGCTCCCTAAAATGTAACTCTGTGATAAAAACAATTTTCACAACAATATACTTCATAACAATTAGAACAAGCAATGTAGTTCGTAATTTTGTGGATATGAACTTATTTACGGAAACTATAGGTATTTGCGTGGCAACTGAATGAAGGACATAGATACATCGGATTTTACAAAGTATAGAAGCTTAAAGTAGTTAGTGATTAATAACAGTATGATTTCACTGCCCACTGGAATTCCTTTATGCATAAGATAAGCATCACGGAATAGTACTTGGTTCAACATACAAAGTAATTACAACTCATACTAAGAATATTTCTAGTCATATGAGAATATGTCCGTTGTCGTTTACATGTACTTTGAACATGAATATTTTTAGGTTTTGTAAAATTTGTTATTTTGAATACTATTGGTTGGAACCCATTTCTGAAAATCAATTACTTTTTAAATTAAATGAGGATAGAAATATCTAAACTTTCAATGTTACTCATTTTGCGATATTACACGGTGATCATACAGTATGATCGGTGATAACAACCTCATTCCTGATTTAGTGTAACAGATCATGCTTTTTCATTAGAAATTAAGAATCAGTTTAAACAAAAATCAATAACCATAGATAAATAATAAACTGTAAGTTGGTGAGTTAAAGGAGCTGTTATAGCTGCAAGTTTAAGAGTTCTTTTATTTGATTTTATATGAAGTAGTAAGAGTGTTGTGTTAACGACTTTCGGATCAAGACAAAATAGTAGTTCATTGTTTTGTTCTTTTAAATGATTCATTAGTTGGCATCAGTTCAATGAAAAATCAATTCTAAAGTTTGAAGAAGGTGGGAGATGCAAAAGCATGACAAAAGCAGAGATAAATACGTTCAAATAAGCCGAAATTAACACCACTTTAGTTAATTTTATACATATACACATTTCTTTTAAAAGTTACTACTTGAAACATCTGAGATATCTAGTCTCCATCCAAATACACATACTTTTAAAAAACAGTTTTTATTAAACAATAAAACAAACCTGGCAACTATAAGAACCAAAATCATATTTTCTAATATCATTAACAGCTAATTGAGCTTTATATAAACCAGGACGTATATGAATTAAATAATTTTCATATTTTTTCATTTCATTTTTACTATCAGAATTTTTACTTTGAATTAATGTATCCATTGGTATTAGTTTATTATCTTTAAGCCAGACAATTTGTGGAGTTGGTTCTGTACGAATATAACATGTTAACCATACTTTAGAACTTTGTTCACCAGCTGCTTTTGTATATCGAGGCAATTGAATTATCTTTGGAGGAACTGTCATTTTATAAAATTAAATAATGTGAAATTGTAAAATCAAATTTAATGAAATTTTTTTCACATTAAAATATCAATTTGATTCAATAAAAGAAATGAAAATTACAATTTTTGATTTATTATTATTAAACATAATGTTGATCAATTGTAGTCTTAAATAACAATGGTAAGATACAGGTATACAACACTAAGTGAATATAACTTTACCCCATCGCACAAGCTAGTGGCTATCAGGACTTAGTAGCTAAGTGGATAACGTGATGGAGTTTGAAGCGAACGTTACTGGGTTCGAGTTCCATAGAGTGAACATCAACTCTGATATGCAGGTGCATCCGGCTGACGAGTCCCAAATAGGACGAAACGTGCATCAAACTGGATTCCACTGCTAGCCACTATCCATCTTTGCTTATAATGGATGATCGTTTTACAAAGCTGATGATAATGAACGCTTTACATCAATATGGAATAATTAATTTGCATTACAGAAAAGTTAAGAGGAAACTGATCAAATACTTAATGATAAAATGAAAAACAAACAGTTTATTAAGATGTAAAAGATTCATTAAGGCATATATAATTGACTAAGCCGAATATTGTATTTTAACTAATAACATTACCTCACATCATTAGCTAATTGAACGCTTTTATCAATTGCCTGAAGCTACAAAACGACATTAGCGGTACATGACTCAGTGAGTTGTTGGAATTCACTAACAGTACAGAGAACGTCGATTTCAACATAAAGTACATAATTTCTCTTGGTATGAAATCGTTAACCAAGAATGTGAGGGTATCGAAATTGAATTCATTATTGGCGATAAAACTGAGTTAGCAAAGTGATGATTAAGATATTTATTTTTGTTATCCATAAATAATGTAGAAATCCAACATAATGAAATACATTAATGAGAAGCAGTAGATGAAACCATCAACAGTAGACTAGGCCAGAAATTTACCGATAATTTTTTAACATAACTACATTTTAATAAGATCGGAGAATCGATCATCCACATGATGATTTTTGAGATATTTTACTGAACACTTTAACATAATCTATAATAACAATAAACATTCAGACAAAACCTTTTCTGCTTTAATTTGGACTAATTTCTATCGTTCAAGTAATTACAATCACAGTAAACAGGTTTATTTTATATTGTTTCAAAGTAGAACTATGTGAACCAGTCATCGTTTGAGTGTCAACAACGTTTGGATCATATCTTCAATAAAGAATTCTTATCTAGAAGAGAACGAGTTTGTAGTATGGAAGTTCATTTGACAGTCTGTGGAGAATGCCAGATTAAAAGATTATGGCTTACCTATATTTAAAAAAAAATTTAATTTTTGAATTAAATTGCCTTAATTCATCACTACTTCAAAAAATCATACGTTTGCCAAATATCTATATTAAAAAATGACATAAACTCATTAAATAACCTTCGTTTACGAATCCTTATTTTACTGATTCTTTCTACTACCAACTTGACTGACCTCATACACCATTGAAATCCTACCCAGCGATTCTATATTATATTGGAGGTTTTCTGTAGTTAAATCTAAATGGATAATTCATATAACTATGTTTGCAGAGGTGTGTTGTTTGGATATACAGAAAGCGTCCTATACTTAATTATTTCCAAACATACGGACTAATTTGTCGATAAATAGATCTAGGTTGTTAAACATTATGATCAACAGATACTTGAATGGAACATTTTTTGAAGTAAACCTAGTCAAAGTACTGAAAGTAGTATAATGGATAACTATGACAATTTGTATAAGCAGAGATGATTCATTATTGAAATGCTAACTTGCATTAGCAAATACTACTTTTAAACTGTTTCATTAAATTTTTGCTAACCTTTGGTCCTCAAAATCACTCATCATGTCCAATACCTTTCATTTAATCAAAGTAAAACTCTCGTTATTCATTTTTAGTAAAATTTTCTAGTCCATCTTATAGTTGTTACTATTATTAGACTTCTTATTTTTATCGTTATTTGAGAAAATCAATTCGCCTCCGACACATTTAGCTATTTCATAAACTAATGCCTATTTTAATTTTGTTATGCTACCTTAAATTGTTATTACTATCACTTGTTGTCATCAATATGATCATGACGTCATTCATGATTTTACAAGTACTATCATCTTGTCATTTTGTATATTATACATTAAAAAAAATGCTCTTAGTGGTCGACTACGTCGTACACTCTCCGATAAATTCTGCTATATATTTTAATTTATATATATATATATATATATATATATATAGATATAGATAGATAGATAGATAGTTCAACCCACAAGTAATATAAGGGGATTGTTACTATTAAAACATTTATTTCTCGAACGATTAAAATCTTTTAGTTTATTATAGATCTGAATTGTTAAGTAGCATAACCTAAAAACTTTCAATATAGAGTTGTGGAGAATTTTGAATTTTAATTGAGATAATGAACCGTTCAATGTTAGATCAGCATTGAAACGCCGGAAGAACTGGATGCTCGTTTCATCCTAATACGGGACTCCCAAGTCGTGCGCACCCGCGACCTTTCACATGGGACTCGAACCCGGGACATTCGATATCACGCTGAACATATATTGATAATTATCATGTGCCCTTTAGTGATAAACTTTGAAAGGTAATTCTCAGAGTTCTAGTGAGAAGCCGCGACCATGGTGGTACTTCACAGAAAGCAGTTCCTCCATTACTAAATAAACCGATATCGTCCGTAGCAGTCGAACATGTACAGATTGTCTTAAAATATATAATTTCAAATCATGACTCATTTACTGTTAGTCACAATGAAAATCAGTCAGTAGAACTATTGAAAAGACTAATCAGTGGTCAGTTTTTGTTAACTGTTTACTTTGTTACATCATTTTTTGTGAAAATTTATGAGAAACTTACAGTGATACAAAAGATTAAATGTCTTCTTTACTGGTTCACCTATTCCATTACTGACTTCGCAAACATATTTACCAACATCATCTTCTGTAAGTTGATAAATGTAAAATGTACTAGAAATTTGAAATTTATCTTGTTGAAAACACTGAGCAAGCATTTTCGGTTTGTCTATCAGAGACTGGAGAAAATCAAGTAAAGGAAAAGAATACGTTTACTGCTAGACATATAAGATTATACTACACAAACAATCGATTAAATGGTTCAGTGACTGAATTTAAATGATTTTCGTAACTGTTAACAATTCAAACGTAGGATTACTCCGTTGTCATGAAAGCATATTCAGTGTTGTAGTGAACAAGTGGGGACAATCGAATGTATTTGAATACAACATTACAGAACAGCTTACTAAATTCTGAGAAGCATACAGTAAATACTTAATTTTCAAAATGTGAATCAATTGTCTCAAACTTGACTGTTCCATTTGCAAATATCAGTCAATCGTCTCAGACATCATTATTCTTTTGTTTCAACACCAATCATTCTTTCTTTTCGTTCTCTTTTCCTCGATCTTCTTAACCTTCTGTCCCCAGGTATTTCACTTTTAATTGATGATACATAGTGCTTATATCTGTCGACATTAGTAGCACATACCACAATGTGTCTTCAAGCAAATGTTCTGAAGAAATATTTTTGTACTTGACATCTGATGTTAATTGAGAATGGTCGTGAATTCTCGACTTGTTGTGAATGCTTTCTAATGCGATGAGTATGTCATATTTGTTCCCTAGCCATTAATCAATTCAAATCCATCAGTAATCGAGAAAAATAAATTTTGATAAGCAAACGAGGTTTTGTTTAAAATTCAAAAGGAACATTGAGAAAGATAGACTTGCTTTAACACATAAGGTTTTGAACTATAATAATATTTACTCTATTTGAAGCTGATTTATATCATGAATTACCATCAAGTGAAGAACTATTAGAACTAGAGCATCACCAGACAGTCTATTAGTAATAGTCTTGGATCACTATTTAACAATGTCCGCTAACGACCTAAAAACTGATTCATTAGTAAACTAATTCAGAATTCGGTTGTCCATATTTTTAATTTTTGTGTAATTGTCCACCAAACAGTTCGTGTCAGAGCTACTAAAATTGTGTGAAGCAAGCTAAGGGGGGAATACGCGAACCAATGGATTATAATTGAATGTTTTAACTGCAAATTCATTGCGTCAAATATTATCAGAAAGTTTGTTATTATATTTATTTCGTTATAAATATGGATGGTAAATAGTGCTGAACGTTCAAGGTATTTTATTTATAAGGTAACAATCAGAAAATTTGATTATTAGAAGAGGGTTTTGTGGAGATTTTAGTAATTTTATATAGTTGAAATCATGAATGGAGTTCAACCAGGTCTGTTATAAGACATCAACTAACTGAAGACATTGGTGGATGGTTGCTCAAGCTTCGTGGATTGGTTGAAGTTAGACATTAACACAATTGGATGACGGCCAGCTCAGTGGTCTAGTGGTTAAGCGCTCGCGCTTTAGACTGATAGGTCCTGTGTTTGAATCTCGCGAGACGGGATGGTGGATTCGAACTGCTGAGGAGTCCCACAATAGGACGAAACGGCCGTCCAATGCTTACAGGTTTTCTATTGTGGTCTAGCTTCAATTGACTCATGATCTCAACCGTAGAAAATTGAATGTTTGTTTAGTAAGCTAATTTACTCCAACTTTACATTAACATTTATTGTTGCTATAGTAAACTTAATTTTAACCTCATATGATTTTCACTGCACAGTTGTAAATAGTTTGAATAATATAAGTGCATTTTTTAGTTCATTTTACAATAGTCAGTGTTTGTATCTGCAAATGTACTTGAGTTTTACTTAATCGTATTCTATGTAGTCCACAAAGCCAGCATTAAGTATTCCTTTAAGATAGCATTTCATATTGGTAGTAATCTACTGAATAGTAGTTACGCTCAAACTACAGAAGAAATTGATATCATGTCTATAAAACCCGGAGCTACGTTTTCAGAGAAAGCATATTTAGCTTTCTATCTTACCTTCTCAGATCTTAGGTCCTATAGATCAATACTAATTCAAACTATGGAATGAATCGATCATATTAATGATTATACCAACCCACTACATCTTCAAACCATAGTTTATCGTATTCAGTCATTATCATAAGTTTTCCTGATACACTTGAATAGTTTATCTGGTTTCCAATCTATATTTTCTGCTTTTCAAGTTATAATGTTTTGTAATATTTATTTAAACAATTGGTGTTATCAGAATTTTACCCATTATCTTTATTAGTTTAAATCCTAATTACTATTCTCTCAAATTGACTTACAAACTGCTTTAAGTAGACATTACATAGGTTTTATTCTAACGTCGATAACTAAGAAAGTTATTTGATTACTAGCAGTCCTAAGTTGACATCTTGTATCCTGAAAGAAGTACATACATTAGACTTGGATATTCCTTTTCATCACTAATTTTTTTACACGGGTTTGGCTCCGGTTTAATACTTAACTACTCTTAGCCATCACAATACACTTGACATTTACAATGATAACAACTAAGTGATCTTCAGTGACATTTTTATCTAGTCTTTAATAATAGATAGATATTTTTATTTATAATTTGACCATTAGTTCAAATGACCAGACATTATTACGTAATAATGTCTCTGATAGTGAAGCCGGATGATACAAGTATGAATTCCAGGAGGAAAAGAAGTTACACTGTGATTACAGATATTGAGTACCAAGTAGGATGAAGTTTAAGTCAAAAATTTCATATTGACTACCTTTACCTGTCTAATATTTAAATATTAGAAGTATATTTGCATAAACTGATCTTAAAAAACAGTACGCTTTTATGAATCATTGTTTATTTTATATAGTTGAAAGCATGAGTCAATTGAAGCTAGGCCACCAGGGAAATGCTGAAAACACTGGACGACCGTTTCGTCCTATTGTGGGACTCCTCAGCAGTTCGAATCCACCATCCCGTCTCGCGAGATTCAAACACAGGACCTATCAGTCTAAAGCGCGAGCGCTTAACCACTAGACCACTGAGCCGGCCGTCATCCAACTGTGTTAATGTCTAACTTCAACCAATCCACGAAGCTTGAGCAACCATCCACCAATGTCTTCAGTGAGTTGATATCTCACAACATTAGATTTTTTGTCATTCACAATAAAATACTCAGTTCATGTTTTGTTTCTTTTTTCTTTTTTTAAAAACATCGAAAAGATTTAAGTATCAAGTGCTCACTTTATTACGACACAAAATAACCCACAATTTTAATAATTATACAGACAGTTTTCGGACATTTTTAGTTATTTATAAAATGAAAAAAATTTTTTTCGCTTCGAAACATCCGCTCAACAAGAAAAAAAAGAAAAGAAAAAGAAAAAAAAAGAACTAACATCTGATTAATGTTTTTCTTTTTTTTCTTTTAAAGAAAACTATTCTACATAAGATTGTGATTGAGTATGTAATAAGAAATTTGTTAAGAAACGAATTTGTTTTTATCAAATAGGATTTTCCCTAATATAAATTGACATAAATTTTTCTTTATAATGATAAGAAAATTAAACAAACAAATCATGATATTTATTTTGATGGAAACAATATTAACTAGAAGATTAATATTACTGAGAATTGAACTTACATTTGAATGAAATTAGTGTAGTTTCAGTTGGAGTTTAGATTGATATCATAAATGGATCGATGTTGAACCTCCATTGAAAGTCTGGAAGCAATGGATGGCCATTTCGTCCTAGTATGGGAATCCAAAGCAGTGCACATCTACGATCTTACAGGTGGAACTCGAACCTAGAACCTTCGTTTTCGTGTGTGAACGCTTAACCTTTAGACCACTGAGCCGGATGTTAATGTCTAACTGCTACTAAATAACGATGTCTTGAGACCGTCCACCATTATCTGCAATGAGTAAATGCTTCACAGTAGACATGGTTGAACTCCACTGGTCACTGCTTCTCACCAGAACTCTAAGAAATCCATTTTGAAGCTAGTCGCCTATTTCTAACATGGATCCATTTATGATATCAATCTAAACTCAACAAACTCCACCACCCCATACTGATATTTATCATATGCTTACTAGTGTCTAGCTTCAAGATGGATTTCTTGGAGTTCTAGGAAGAAACAGTGACCAATGGAGTTCAACCATATTTTATTTTTTTGATATCAGTTACATTAGAATATTTAAAATATATCCTTTTTCATTCCACAGAGTGCTATGATTAATGTTAAATGTATGTTTATGAAAAAAAAGGAAATAAATTTCATATAATTGGGCAAAAACTGGAAAGTAAATTAACATTTAAACACTATAGACAATATCAAATGGTTCTTCATAATGAAGTTATAAACGCTTTTTTAAATGTCTGATTAAGATCCTAAATCAAGTAAACTCACTGAAACTTATTCCATGTGGAATTACATCATTTTGAAATTGTATAAATGGCGTTTTATTTCTGAAATTAACTTTGATTGATGTTTTGTTACAATTAGGTGGTAAATACTAAACAATTATTATTACCGTAGGGGCTTGTGGAGATTGAGTTTTCATTAATTACATAAAGCATTGATTCTAGTTGAATGACCAGTGGAAACCAGAAATTCATGGATATTTAATTCATCCTAATGTTGTTACTCCTCAGCAGCGCGCATCCACTGAAGACTAGACCAATGAACTTTCGGTGTCACCACGAGCTACTAATCTCTAGACCACTAAACCGGAATTCAATGGTGAATATGTCTAACCCTCATTAATCTGAGATGTCATACCAACATCTTATATTCCACATAGTAGATAAGAATCTCACACACGGCAAGGTTAAACTCCACTTGTCACGATTTCTCACTGGAACTCCTGGATTTGCGTCTCGCAGTTGCGCACTGCTGTGTAGTTCTATAATAGGGCGAGACACGTGTTTAGTTGTGTTAAATGGAGCAACGAATGTAATTTAGTATCACTGGTCAGTAAATTTCTTGGTTGATTTTAAATGCAGAGTAATCTGCGCAATATTTTACAACTATTAAATAAAGAAGTATTAAACAGAACGACAGTAGGCTTATTCGGACGAACCCATACTTTAAAAACTGTATAATTCTAACTCGACCGACAAATTTGCCAACACTCTTTAATTAGTGGACGATTGACACAGACAAAACGATGAAAAAGTTAACGCACTTGATTGCAATAAATTGGTTCACTCAATTGTAATGCCCCTTCATCTACTTCTTCTGTCCAGCCCTTAGGTGGAAAGTAACGATACCATGTAAATGTTCTATCAGGTATAGCTGGATTCGCATCAGCTTTACAATCTAAAGCAGCATAGTCTTTATTCGTTTGTGTTATGTTCTCCTCAAGTTTGCCGACAATACTTGCTGGATCTAGTTTTAATTATTTTAAGAGAAAAGAATATAAAAATTAAATAGAAAACTTGTGTTTGAAACAAGATATAACTGTAATGATGTCGAAAATATAAACCAAAGAATGGTTAAATGTTATTTGAAACACATATCCGATTCATTCTACGTGATAGTACAAACGACTCAGATATAAAGACTGTTAATGTCAAGAAATATACAGGATATTTTGTTTTTGTTATTAGTGGTGAAGATTTCTGCGAGATAAATGGTTTGATTGTGAAGCACTCATTGTCATTCTGGACATGTTCAGCGATTAATTTATGTAGAAGTACAAGATATGTGAATGATTAAGGTAAGAAAACTCCTCTGGCGACAACGTTATACAAGACAACGCGAATTTAGATATAGTTAGCTCCAATAAGTAAGATACATGGAGATTTTGATTATCTAGATATAGTCATCCAAACGTTTCTCGGAACCATAAAATCTATGAAACATCTTACTGAAATTCAGTAAGGTAATTTGATTAAGATATGAAATGTAAAGTTTTAATGTTTTAAAGCGACTAATCATCTAAAAGGTCATTACTTTCTGCTACTTTACTCAACTTGTTCATAATGGAGTTCTTATCAAATATTTTCTTAACAAATAAGTAGAAGTTGAAGACAAGTTAAACTGGTTTTGAAAACTGATTTATAGATGAAAGAGTAGAATTATATTTTAAAATAAATTATAATGGTTATTCTAAATTCTGCAGCCTTTATAACGGTTGCAAAAGGAAAATAAATTAAGAGGAGAGGGGAGTACAGCTCGAGGGATAGGAATATACAACAGCGTTAAGATAAGTTACGTTGAGATTTCTGAAAAAAAGCAATTTAGTGAAACAGATTATATACTTAAACTAGAGTACATCAGCAGTCCAGACGACACATTTTTGAACTACAAGCTCCACTATTAAAGTCATTACATGGTAGTCATATATATATATATCATATCAAAACTCATAGACTATTTATGTCAGAATGAGACGAAAGACACATGATTTGTGTGTTTTTAAAACAGAATCAGTTTTTTATTTTCACTTCCTCTAGCTTGAATTACCTTGTTTTCCGAAGTTTATTTATTTATACAATAAAGTGATTGTTTATTTTAGGGTAAAATAACCATTTGAAACACACATTTACCCCCTAAAGGAGCAATAAGTTGAATATTTTCCATTAAATACAGTAAAAAGTATGGGTTACTTCATAAAAATTAGGTAGGAATTTTTTAAAAGTTTGGCCGTTGTTATGAAATAGTCATCTAAATAAAAAAATTATTTTAGTAGTTGAGATCATATGTCAAGCGAAGCTAGACCAGTATGTAAAACCTGGAAACACTGGACGGCCGTTTCGTCTTATTGTGGGATTCCTCAGCAGTGCGCACCACGAATACTATAATATCCACAAAAACCCCTTCTGGTATTAATCAACATGTGCTCACTAGTGACTGTCTCCATTAGGTATTTCTTGGTGTTCTAGTGAGAAGCAGTGACCAGTGGTTGGAATCTCGTAAGGCGGGATAGTGGATGTGCACTGCTGAGGAGTCGCACATTAAGACGAAACGGCTGTCCAGTACATCCAGGTTTACCATGGTGGTCTAGCTTCAATCGACTCATGATCTTAGCTATTAAAACTACTATAATATCCACAAAAACCCCTTGTGATGAAAAATTATTTGTTATGTTCTTTCTATAATAATGGATTTCGGAACTCATTGTAGGGAATAATATCAAAAGCTTTTATTCAAAGACTGAACTCTATATATTCATGTGAGTTTTACTATCACAGCCGTTTATTCACTAACAGTAATACTCCACAGTAATAATAGACAAATGTATCCAATCTTCAACTTTAGTTAAAAAATAAAATAGCGCTCTATGCATATAGTCGTTTATAACAATAGGAAAAATCTTTTTTTAATGAAACCAGCAACTTACATGTAACATTAAGAAAAAATGTATTTCGTGATTCATGTTGTGAATTAGAAACTATCACTGTATAGTTACCCATATTTTCTCGATTAATTTTATGTAATGAAAGTAGTTCACCAACAGTACCAGCTGCAAAGACGCCTTGCCATGTATCAGTTTCTTTAGGTTCAAATGGAAGTAATTGATCATTACGAAACCATGAAACAGATGTAACTGGAGGATTTGCATATAATCCAAAGTCTAGATGAGTCGTTTCACCTGAAAAGAAAAAAAGTAATTTATAAGTAGTTTATCAGCAATAACTGATTATTCATGTTAAGAGCACTTAACCGATAGGCTACTGAGCCGGTTATGTGCACTGGCGCGAGACTGGTAGGTCTTGGGTTGGAATCTCGCGAGGCGAGGTCGTGAATGCGCACTGCTGAAGAGTCCCACAATAAGACGAAACGGACGTCTAGTGCTTCCAGGTTTTCCATGATGGTCTAGCTTCAATTGACTCAAGCTTTCAACTATGAAAATACTAAATCTCCACAAAAACCCCTTCTAAATTTTATATGACAAGTCAAAACTTGTCACGTCAATCTAACTGTTAGAAACATTTATTAGTAGTTGTATTACTGATAAATAAAAGTTTGTTTACTTGTCATTTTCATTGTTTTACGAATCAGATTACAGGAAGTTCACTTCCGTCTTTATGTTATGATTTTAGACATTATTGTAATATTATTCACAATATTAAAATAAGGGTTTGCTATAGAAGTATTACGTCTAATTGAAATGTTCTTTAAAAAAAAACCTGAATGATTTACTATTCTAACCATTCTGTCCAAATTTCTTTACTATAAGTCATTAATACTGAATGCTATTCAGCTTTATTTAATTACTTCCCTATTGCAATTTAACTTCATTATCTGAGAATTATGAATCGTTTGGTTGAAGCGAGACCACCATTGAAAACCTGGGTTAGTCGTTTCATCCTACTATGGGTACTAGGTTTTCAACTGTGATTTAACTTAAATTGACTGGTGAATTCAATTGTGAAAATAAAACAAATAGAAAACTGGCCACTGAAATAAGTAGTTGTTACATAAAGCAGCAAAATGTTCATGAAGTTTGAGATCAATGAATTTTTATTTACACTTATGAAATGTTAAAAACTTGAAAGAATCAGTGAAACCAATTAAATGTGTCACCTTGTTGAATGTAACTACATGGAAACTTTAGGGTTGCAAAGTTCACATTTTCCATTGGATCAGATAAGTTAGGTTAAATGACGTAGAATATTATTTAAAATATGATGTATATAAACTTTATTGACATTCAGATGCCAATTCAGTGTATTAAGGATAGTTTACTATGACGGAGACCTGAAAATACAAAACTTATTTCAGTGAAGCGAATGACTATCTAGGGTAATGTACTTCCTAATGATTCTCTGATGTTAATCTGTAGCGAAAATCAAGTTCAAACCAACCAGTTTACCACAAACCATCTACATATCTAACTTTATACAGTAGTATTAAGGAAAACAGTGTTGATAAAAGTGTTCAAAATCAAACCATTGGTGGTTCACACGTTTCAGTAAGTTTATACTCAGCAGTATATGGTACTTTTCTAACGCTACGTTTGAAGATGACTTAATTGTTGGCCTGCTATTTATCATTCAGTAAACGATTACTAAATCTAAAGTTAATAATTTTTCGACTATGTAACTAATAATTCATCCGTCCAGTGTTTGGCATGATATAAGTTTCAAATTCTGAGGAAATATTACTTTCTTTATGATTTTAAACAATAGTTACAGATGATAGAAAGCAATTAAAAAGTTAAAGAATCATGTTTCTTTCAACTAATTAACATTAAAATCCCTTTCATCAAAACTCATTTATACTGGTACATAGTCTAAAAAGGGAACAAATATATTGTAATATAAGCAAAGATGGATAATAGCTAGCAGTAGAATCCAGGACGCGCGTTTCGTCTTATTTAGGACTCGTCAGCTGGATGTACCTGAATCCCATAGTTAATATTTACTCTGGGGACTCGAACCCAGTACCGTTCGCTTCAAACGCCATCGCGTTATCCACTTAGCTACTGGATTCTGAATTCAAATATATTGTAAGTTGAAATGAGTAATCTAATATCCAATATGATAAGGAAATAATCTTGTTTTTCTGAAAAAAATTATTTTATTAAACTTAATTCTTACCAAGGTGAATTTATTGTTTATATATTTTGAAAGAACCATGTTCTTATTTACATGTAACATTAAGAAATATTAAATAAAATCCTTAAGGAGACAATATTCCTTATTAATTTTATTATTATTATTATTATGGCCATCAATATGAAGGCCAGTGAGTAACAAGAGAGAAAAAAAAGGTGACAAAAAAAATCGACTCGTCGTCATAGTTACATAAATAATTTTGTTACCTCATTTAAACTGTGAAAAATATTTATTTACTTTTATGTAGAAAAACAAAACAAATAAACAAACCATACAATAGGGAAGGAAATTTAATTTTCTAATTGACTGAATTAAATTTGATAAATAAGTAATAAATAAAAAAAACAACAGAAGAATCATTCATGTTTATGTGCTACTTATTGTTTTAAGGACAATTTTAGTTAAAATAAGCCAAAATCAATAAATCAGGATTTAGTATATTCTATATTGTGTCATAATAAAAATGATCATTTATCTAAGTGAATATATGAATTTATAAGAACTTTCGTCTAACTTAGAGCGTATAGTTTCACAGTATTTGAGCGCTGAGTTGATGTATGACATTAATTAAGAATAATATATTTGTATTTCACATCACAAATCTCTTACACACTAATACATATACCTAGTCCAGACATTTTTACCGTTGATTGAATGACCTATTCAGTGTACGATGAAACGAAGAACCATGCATCTATTTATATTCGATAATTTTGATGTTTGATTATAATTCATTGAAAAAGCTCGGACCAGATTGTCAGGTGAAACGTTAGATTTACTACAAATTCATTCGCTGAGATTTTGACAAATATATTATTTCTAATTAATGTCGAACATATGAATTATTTGTAAATAATTAGTTGAATCTGTCTTTCAGTTGTTAATATGTTTTGTCTATATTAGTGGAAGATTTAATGTATTATAACTTTTATTGTATGTTAGTAGGATAAATGATTAGAGGAACCATGATGAGACAACGATTGTCCAGTATATTCCTTATTAAGAGATTACAATATTTTAAAGTATAACATAACCCATGAAATATTTCTTTACAACTAACTCTACATCATGGTTCTATAATGTCATATATTATCAGAGGGGGTTTGTGGAGATTGTTATATTTAATGGTTTACTTGATCAACTTATTAAATATTGATTGAAATTAGACATGTAAATCGTTGGATATCGACTTAATGGTCCATACGTTGAGGGCTCACTCCAAAATATGACCGTACTTGATGTAACTCCTGATGAGTTCGTTGAGGAGCACTAATGAGGAGTATTATGCTGAGATTAGGTAATTGTCTCGCGCTTGCTGATTTTCTGTGGTTGTTTAATTAATAACATTCAGCGATGTAGACTATTGAACAAATTTAAATCACCTACATCTGAGTACAAAAAATTTGTATGGCCTCTCTTTCACAGCCTGTTAATTAATTGATTATCAAAACTATCCTTTGATTTCTGATCCTTAATTTTGAGATTCATAATTTCAACTTTAATTTATATGTGCTTTTTTCTTTTTCTATTTTTTAAGTAATCATTTCAACTGACCAATCGACTCCTGAGGTCTAAGCTTAACTTATTATTCATACGTAATGATTGATGACAAATAAACAGTTGACAAATCCCAAACTTACACTAATGTTTCTGAATCTACATTCTTATGTAGTTAGTCTTAACGACCTGCTCATCTACTTCTGTAATTAAATTTCTAATTACAAGATATTAAAGTAGTTGAAGACACATTTCACAGGTATTGTAAAATGTTTCCGAGAGTGATGATTTGGGTGGTTATTGTTTCAACGACATGATTTCTGGTATGGTCCCGGATATTTTCGTTTGTCCATACGGCTTTACACAAAAAAACTCTGGCATTCGCTACAGGAAACGTGACAAAAAATACCAGGAGTTCATTTTATTTTTCCTTGCTGTCGCGATATCCTTCTATAACTCTAGATAACAAAATGATCCCTTTGTGTCAGTGAGATGATAAATATTTTAATTATTCGATTGATCCTTTTCTATTGATATTGTGTTTCAGTGTTAGAACAGTAACTTAATCGACGTCGCTTCATTGATATTATGTTCTGCTCTCAAAAATCGTTGGGACAAAGGAAGGAGCCTGTTGTAAAGAAATATATTTTTACTCATGTTATACATATGATATCTGATAGGACTACTGCTTACTCAAACATAACACTCTAGGCAAATGTTAAAGGTGCTTGACCACTAGAGGGAGAGTGAAAACGTTCAAGAGACTAATTTGCGGCTTATTTGAAAAAATAAGATTATCAAAATATTGTAGGATTTTGCGGGTACGTACTTGTACATGTCATTTCAGTTTACCTAATTAAAGTAAACAATGACCAAAGTACTGTAATATTTTCCATAAACATTTTGACACCGTGTTTTTACACATATTTAAGCTTTTTATCGCTGCAACATTAACATAACAATAATTTATGAACTGAAGCAAGTTAAAGTATTTTAAATTTAGGATTTCATTTATATGGTGTTGGGAATAAATACTAGAAATAAAATGTATACAAGTTTAACCAAGTCGAATTTAGGTTTGAAAATAATTATAATCAGAAAGGGGTTTCGTGGTCATTATAGTAATTTAATGGTTGAATTCGTAAGTCAATTAAAGCTAGAACACCATGAAAAACCTGGGAGCACTGGACGGTTATTTTGTCCTAATATGGAGTTCCTAAGCAGTGCACATTCACGACCTTGTTCGCGGGATTCAAACTCAGAACCTGTCAGTGTAGGGGTTAGGCGTTCACTCAAGACCGATAGTTCTTGAATTGAATTCCACGAGCGAGGTCGTCGATGTGCACTGCTGAGGAGTCCCATACTACAACGAAACAGAAGTCTAATGCTTGAAGGTTTTCTATGGTGGTTTACTTTTAAATGACTAATGAAGTGAATTATTAAACTAAAAATAATTAACTAAATATTTGAAAATTTTGCGAATAAACAAATGTTCAATGCATTAGTTAATAATGTGACTGATTTTACTACTGCAATCAATTTTACCGGTTTCAGTGGAATTTTAAAAGCTAAATTGTTTTGTTTTTTTCACAGGGAAATAAGTTCCTAACTAAGTTTTTCATAGAAATGTTTTCTATAGTGTAAGTAACATTCCATTTTTCATTGATAAGGATATACATGCACATAAGGCATAGTATGTTTAATGCTTTATGTAAATTCCAAACTAACATGGATTCATTCTATGTAAATAATTTTACAAATTAAGGAAGTTTTAAATAAAATACAAAACAAAGGGGAATCAACTTGAATTCATTAACTAAAGATTACAAAACAGGAAATAATAAACCAGTAGTATATTATTTTAAATAAAATGAGTGAAATTTCATTGAATAGGTGATGAGGTTGTTTTAGAAAAAAAAATCTTATTGAAGCCTAGTAACTATTAATCAATATTTTGCAAATGGTTTGAAATTACTGGAAATGTATATATGACTAGAAAAGAAAAATTTAAAAAGAAAGTTGCATAAAAGCTTGTAAATTAGCTCATTGAAATAGGTTTATAGCAATCTTATAAAAATGGATTTTATATAGTTGAGGTCTTGCATCAATTGAAGCTAAACCACCATAGAAAACCTGGAAACACTGGACGGCCGTTTCATTCTATTATGGGACTCTTCAGTAGTACGCATCCACGATCCCGTCTCGCGAGATTCCAACCCAGAACCTATCAGTGTTACGTGCGAGCGCTTAACCACTAGACCACTGAACCGGCATCCACTGGTGTTAATGTCTAACTTCAATGAATCCACGAAGTTGAGCAACCATTTCAGCGAGTTGGTATCTCTCAACAGACCTGGTTGAACTCCATTGGTCACTGCTTCTCTCACTACAACTCCAGGAAATAGCTCATGGAGCCAGTCACTGAGGAGTCCCACAATAGGACGAAACGGCTTGTCCAGTGTTTCCAGGTTCGCCATAGTGGTCTAGCTTCAATTGACTCATGATTTCAACTATATATAAAATATTACTAAAAATCTCCACAAAAAACCCCCTATTATAGACTATTGTTTAGAATTGATTAAAAAGTCTAATTATACATTTTCATTTAATGATAATATATAATAGATTGTTTTTTTTGCATTTTCTTCATTTCGTTTAAGGATGTCATCGTTATTAATCATTAGAAATTAATGAATTACCCCATTATAGTACATCTTAGTCAATTAATTTCCACTAGTTACAATATTTATGATTTACATTTAATTGTCAATGTTAAAATCAACTTCAGCAACAAAATATTTTAAAGGATAAGAAAGAGAATAATCAATTTAAGTCTCTTTAAAATATTTTCAGAACTGATTACTCAACTTTACTTTCTAAAAAAAACGTTAACGTAAATGATTTTTCTTATAGATAGATTTATTTAACTTCAAAAGTTTGACAAGAATACTGTTTCTATGTAAAACAGATTGTTGTATAAATTTAAATGAACATTTATTTAATGCAGACGTATATGAATCTGCATCTATGTTTATCAGTAATCATTAGTATTAGTTCATTTCAAAGGTTTATATAGAAAGAATAAATCTAAAATGAATTTTTATTCGTAATATGTTCAGTGTGACAACAGAATTATATGTCAGAAATGAGTTTTTGATTTCATCGCTATGAAAACCAAGTAAATTGGTAGAGTTAGGTATATGATCAGTCGGTAGATCACAAACTGACTAAAGCTTTACACGTAAGTCATAGAATGACGGTTCAGATATCTCTAGACTAGGTTTTTACAGAAAGACCTGAAAGTTTAGGGTTCAAACGTGTACGGAGTAGTGGGCGTACACTGATGAGTTCTATACTTGAACGAACCAGCTGTCCAAAGCTCCTTAGATTTCTATGATTATTTGAGTAAGTTAATTTCGTGATGTAAACCAAACATTTTAAAAATCCTCACATACCCTCTTCATTAAGAATAATATGATATTTCGATGTTCATTCATTAGAAATTGTAAAATGATATTTCTTTATTTTGTTTAATGAATCATAATACTATTTACTGACTGATCCAAAACTGTACAGTTTCGAACTGTTTTACTGGTCTAGTCGCATTATCTTTAAAATGTACACATTTATTTATGGATCATTGTATGGAAATCAGTTGAAGTCAGTGCTTCGTTCAGTTGTTTTATGTGATGCAACAAAATAATATAGATTCCTTTGTCACATAGCTATCTGTGATAAACAGACTGTGATTAAACAGCCAGTAAATCGTACACCAAGATTGAAAGGTAAAAGTTAATTAGTCATTCTTACAAAATATTTAGTGCATTGGTTTCTTGACCTAGCCTTCACCATAATCAATTCTTAATTGTATACTGATCGATATAATATTACTATCACTAGTATCGCATTAATTACGACAAACTGCATGTCATATTTCATATCTGATTAACATTATTTAACTCTGTTTATTATAGTACACCACCTTTTCTTACAGAAAACTCAAGTTGATAACTCAGATTGTAATTATTTATAAAGTAATCGCAATGAAATTCTTTATATCTAATCTTTATTAATCGATTTAATACCTATGTTCTAATGTACTGGCTTTGAATATTTAGATAGTTCTGACTTCATTAAGACAACTACTGAAAATCAGAAAACTCTGAGTAGATAATCGGTCTTATTATAATGCTGTAAACAGTAAAAAAAACTCTATCTTTCAGCAACTGAACTCGGAAACTTCAGATCTCATGTTGAACATTTAAAATGCAGACTATTGAGTTAAAATGAGATCGTCAACCTTTTTAACATTAGCTAGTCTCCAATGTTCAGAGACCGTAGCCCATTATCTTCAGTGATACTTCTTTCAGCTCAAATGTTCTTTATTTTTGAAATAATTATGTTGAGACATCAAAATCAAAACATTACGACTGTCTTGAAATTCTTATAAGTATATAATTGATAACCCCTAGTAATGCTGAAATAATCCGTAATTTAGTCTTCCCATATTAAGAAAAGATAATTTTGGAGCAGATGAATTACAAAACTATTTATGTTCTCCATACTGTATGCGTAAATTTTGCAGAACATTTCAAAATACGTTTATATGGATAATAAATGCTTCACATTCTATTTAAAAGAAAGCAACATATTAGGATACATGTTCTGTGATCATAAAATTTTTTTGTTAACTCAATGATATATAATTAAATCAAATCAAAATTAAACACTAGAGTCAATCAGATATAACTTTCTTTTACAAAATTATCACTTACCTTCTCGTATTACTCGGTGATCATCTACTTGAAGTCCATAGAATTGTGGTGCAAATGTAATATTTAACTGAAGTCTATCATGCCAAATAGGTGGACCGTAAACTGGATTCTCTGCTTGGCATTCAATAAAGTCCATATGATATCTCCAAGTTGGACGTAACCATAAATGACTTCTAGCTAGTAAACCACCGGATGCTCCAGGAACAGGTGTTTCGTCGGAACCTAGTTCAAAGGATAAGCATTGAATTTTTATGATCTCAGAACTATAAATCATAAATCATGCTTTATTTTTATATTTTGGTTGATGTTATTCACAGCGCAGAATATTTAAATAGTTTACAAGGAATCACAAAAATGTGTGACTTCTACCAGATCTAACATCATGAAAATCCTCTCATATTAATAAACTGTTGACTACACGACAAAAGCTATCAGATGAGCTTTTTTTTTATTTTCAGATTACGCTTGAGAAACCTCAATAGATTTAACCAACTAATAAAGTTGTACTAACTAGAAATTAATTAAACAATGTGAGTTCCAAGTACAAAAAAATAAACATGTAGCTTCTAAACTTAAATCATAGACAGTTGCATGTCTAATTGTACTAATTATACTTGTGTAACCAGAGGGTTAAATCTTTATTTCGATCACTAGTAAGGGCCAATTCTTTTATTTTTCTTCTTAAAGTCTAAGTTATTAACTTTTCTGTGCCAAACAAGCCAACAAGCCAAAATTGCAAATTAATGGAGTTGACAATTGTGATCTCCTTATTGTTATTAAATCTTCTAAAATCATACACAAACTATGTACACAGAATATAATTTAAAAGTCCCCATAGCGTATTCAGAAGAAAAATAATGTGGGAATGAATAATTGTTTTCGATAACTTTGTTATCAGACTCTTTAGTTATAAGTTCATAATTAATATATCAGAATGGACAGAATAAGCCATGTAAACAAATTAGACCCTATTGTTCGGGTTCGACTTAATTTGTTAAAATAGGAAACTTCAGCATCCGTTACATCTTCATCAAGTTGAAACTGTCTTATTCGTTATTGCAACACATTTTATTTTCTCTAAAATGCTGTAATCTTGTAGATGACTCGTCCATTCTCTTCGTTCTCTCTTATGAAATCAAACAAATACGGTTAAAGTTCTATTGCCTTGTAACGCATAATTAGTAGAGTGTTATCTAAGTCTCCATATATTAAAGAAAAACACAAAATCTTTTAAAATAAATACAACAAGTTTCATCATAAAGAGAAAATGCCCAGTAATAACGTCTAGAATAACTTGGAATTTTTATACCTGATGTTAATAAAATCCTGTCACTAACAAATATTTACCAATAGCGTGTATCATAACGGGTTTCAATAAATGTTGAACAGTGCTACATCGTTGTACTGTTTAATGCCTTCAGTAATAGGCAACAGTAATCTTTTATAAAGAACTACATTAATTTTTATATATAGTTGAAATCATGAGTCGATTGAAGCCAAACCACCATGGAAAACCTGGAAACACTCGATGGCCATTTCGTTTTATTGTGGGACTCCTCAGCAATGCGCATCCACTATCCCGCCTCGTGAGATTCGAACCCAGGACCCACCAGTCTCGGGCGCGAGCGTTTAACCTCCAGACCACTTAGCCGGCATCTAAAGGTGTTAATATACCATAATAGGACGAAACGGCCGTCCAGTGCTTCCAGGTTTTCCATGGTGATTTGGCTTCAGTTGACTCCTGATTTCAACTATATATAAAAATTACTAACAATCTCCACAAACAACTGCATTGATTCTCAAGAATTTTCAAATCAACAACAATCTTCTCAAATGAGTAATCATTTTTATGAATTTAAATAAATTTATTTGTTTTAGTTCAATTACGTTAACTGCAATTGGATGTATTCTGTAGAATTATATCTTTAATGTCAACATGATAATCTCCTTTAGTTGAGTTCTACGAATAAGTATGTATTATTCTAAAATGTTTTCATCTGTAATGAGGGAATCAAAAGTTCTCCTCAAAATGTACCATTCACAACCTAGCAACTATGTTGATTTATTTTATCAACAGTGAATTTATCTGCTTTCAGTAGACATTTTCATCATCACGTTTTATATGACTCAATTAAAACATTAAGAAAACTGTTTGAAGAGATAAAAATGATCATTCAGTCATTGGTAGTAATTACTGTTACCTTTTAGTTCTAATAATTTACACTTTTCCCCTTCATTTGTACTACTACTAGATTTTGGTAATTTTTTTTGTTGTTGTAATAAATGACGTCGATAAAATGCATGAGCTGGTCCACATTGATAATGACGCCATGTGATAACAGCAACTGGATTTGAACTATCTGCTTGACAGTTGATTTCAAGTTGTTCACCACTTTGAACTACTGATTTACCGCCAAAATTTAAACTTACTCGTTGTGGTGGAAATAAAACATTTAAAATTATAGCTTCGCTATCTATCCATTCATTATTTGTTGCGGTGTTACGAGCTGAACAACTATAAATAGGTATATAAAAATAAGTGAATAAAACATATTATAATGTGTTTCATGTTTGTGTGCATAAGCATACAGTAGGAGAACAGAATACAATGTAACATAAAAAAAATAGTTTTCATATTTCTATTGTATGATTATACTTTATACCGACATATAAGTACTACTTTTAAGTTCATAGCCAACTGAATGACTCATTTTTATTGTGTTCGTTATGAGTAGTCTAATAGTTTTATGATGATAATTTTATTCAATAGACGTAATTTACTGCATATTAAATTAGATAGACTTTCAATAAAGTGCCTAGTTTTTAGTAGGACTATCATGAAATGAATTAGTAACAAAGTTAAATTCTATAAAGGATCATTTTATTTGGATAATATGCAATAGAATGAAAATTGAATATTATGTATTATTTTGCCAGAAACTTTATTTTATTCATTAATTTGGTTTTAAGGGATACATGAAATGAGAATTATTCAATTTGACGTTACGTACTTTGTAGTATGCTGAATGAAGTTCTTAGTTCTGTACGAAACAAACCTATATATATATATATGCCAGAAGATTCATTTAACCAGTTCTGGGTGACCAGTTAAGGGTTACAGTAGTCTTTATAACATACTCTGCTGAAGTAACATGGCGGCCTGTTTAAACATCTGGGCTACCTGTTCCTGTCATCTAGATATTTTAACAAGTTATCTAATTTCGTTTGTTTTTTAATGCATCATTATGCCTATTAATTGCACAACCTATTTCAGGTACGTTTCTGAAAAGTATAAGACCTTTCGCTGTAAAGGTTACAGAAGGCTTAATCAGAGGCAATATGCAGCGAGAAGAATGTACATTATCCAGATGTCGATTGACTGGGTTGCTAAGTTTTAACTTGCGATCACTCAATATTTATCATCAGGAAGGACGAAGAAGTAAGAAACGGAAACTTGTTGAACTACTTTGTGCTGAGGATTCTATATTTTACCAAAAATATAATATTGGATAAAGCTAATAATAATAAAAAAATAATAATAAAATAACATTTAATTGTTGTATTAATGTCAAAGATGATAGGTTTTATTGATTTAGTCTTGTTGTTATGCCGTAGTTCATTGACATGTAGTGAACAAAAACACCAGTGGAAACAATTGCATGTATTTGAGCTCAAAATAACAGAATGTCTTAGTTAAATCTGAGAATTATGCAGTATATACTTTATATGCACAATTGATTGATCACTGGGTGGTGAACAATCTCATGCATGTCAGGTCCTTCTTAGTGCTGATCGAATGCTATCGATGGAGTTGCAATGTGGCCACCAGTCTAGCATTCGATCGGCACTATGAAAGACCTGACATGCATGAGTTGATCACCACCCAGTGATCAATCAATTGTGATTACATCTCAGTCCTACAGGAGGTTGGTCGTGGCCCGAATATCTCAGTGGTAACGTCTCTGACTGTGAAGCTGAGTGACGCGGGATCCAATCCGCCAGGGAGCATCAGTTCCCTCAGGATTCCAGGTACACCTTGCTTACGAGTGCCAAGTAGCACGAAACCCGGGTCCAGGGTTTCCTGTTGACCACTTCCAACCATCATCATACTTTATATGCAAAATACTAATCAGTCGTCTCAAACTTGATTTCTCCTTTTGAAGAAATCAGTCAGTCGTCTCAGATTTCCTTGTTCCTGCATTTTAATACCAATTGCTTTACGTTTCCGTTCTTTCCTTCTTGATCTTCTATTGAAAAACATTCCATTCGTGACTATCGTCATATACTACTTATGTGGATATAAGTAGCTCACACCACAATACCATTAAATACGATGTTGAAGTGACGTAATCCCATATTTATATTTAATGCCTTACCATTAGAGAAACTTTAATCAATAAGAAGATTAAAGTATGATATTTTTCATCACTAGGTAAGTAGTAAGTAATGAATCTTAATGTCTTATGAGCTTATATACCAACTTTAAATGAAATAAGAGTAATTAATCTTGAACATATAAATGTCATCAAGTGTTCAGTAATAAACTTGGCAGAATTTCTAACTGCAAAGCTGATATCATTTCAATGATAAAGTCAACTAGTTTAATATAAATCTTCATTTAACCATAAGAGTTGCTGATATATATATATATATAACGATTATAAACTGTAATTAGTTTGCTGGTGTCAATTTACATTTATTTAGATTATATCTAATAACAATAAAGAACGGAAATAAACCCATGATACTGTGTATATTATTAACTAATTATACAATCATAATGTATAAAGTTCTTATACACCCCTTTATATGAATGATTTACTTGGTTATCTTTGTATTTATTCATCTATCTAAGTATGGATAGTAAATTTCTTTGAGTTACATCATTTCAAGCCTAATCTATTTCCATAAATATGTAGGTACATTTAAAGAATATAAGAATAACTCTATGTATTTATCAAGAGTTTTAATTATCTCCCAAACTATATTTGCCATAGTGACTATAATGAAAATAATTTTTGTTTTACCACTTACATTAAAATCTATTTTTCTTAATTAAATAAAATTAATTATTTTAACACGTGACAATAGGATAAGAAAACATACTTCACTTAATTATGATTATAAATATAGAACTACTTATAAGTAGTCTAGAAGTGTTATTCAATTGAATACAACAATAACAATAGAAAAAAGTTAGATTAAATAGTATTGGCATTTTAGTTTGTTTTTTTTTAAACAAAAACCTCTATTGTAATTGGCCTCATTGTTCAACACAATCAAAAGGTATAGACAAACCGATAAATAAATAAATAAGCGTAATGAAAAAAAAACTTTGCAGAATTATGTGTACCGGCTTTAGTTGCTATGTACTTTATGATAAAAAGCGTAACTGAAAGAAAACGGAAATCATAAAGGAAAAACAAACAAAAAAAGAAAAGAAAAAGCATACAATCATAATCATAATAAAAATAGTATAGAACTAGGATTAAACATGAAGCAAAAAAATGAAATTAGCTTTATTATTGTTTCTTTCTTTCTTTCTTTCATAGACATTTGCGACGAAGGAATCAGAAAAAAGAAAACAGATTCATAATTATATTATAGGTTACAAGATGAATAATGGATAGATTTAGGGAATAAAGATTGATTTTGAATAAAATGAATTTAAAAAATGGGATAATATGAATAAAGTATGTAGTCGGAAAGAAAATTTTAAAAAAAAGAAATACAATAGTGAATTGCGTATATTGATATGTTTATCTTTTCTTTTGATGTAATGAACAATTTATTAGATTGTAGAATACTGTAACTTAGTTTATCTTATTTTGTAAATGTATAATTAGTTTGTAGTTGTCAACAACTTCTAGTTTATGTATGTATGTAAGTATCAATAGTACCAATAGTGAAGTGAATACTTGTATTTATTATCACTATTCATGAATAAATTAAGTCATAACCCCAAATTTGTGATCATGTTTTACGTTGTTGATATCTAGAAAGGGTTTTGTGGAGATTTCAGTAGTTTTATAGTTGAAGTCATGAGTCAATTGAAGTTAAACTATCCTGGAAAACTTAGAAGCACTAGACGGCCGTTTCGTCTTATTGTGGGACTCCACATAAGTGCGCATCTATGATCCCGCCTCGTGAGATTCGAACCCGAGACTTATCAATCTCGCGCGCGAGCAATTAACCGAAGGACCACTGAGCCAGCATCCAATGGCGTTGATGTCTAATTTAAACCAATCCACGAAGTTCAGAAATCATTTAATATTGTTTTCAGTCAATCGATCTCTCACAACAAACCCGGTTGAACTCCACTGGTCACTGCTTCTCACTAGAACTCCAGTAAAAATCTCACTAGTGAGCATATGAGGAGTCCCCTAATAGGACGAAATAGCCGTCTGGTGTGGTTTAGCTTTAATTGACTAATTATTTCAATTATAAAAATTACTGAAATTTCCACAAAACCTCTTCTAATAATAATCATATGCTCACTAGTGACTGGCTTCAAGAGATATTTCCTAAAGTTCTAGTGAGAAGCAGTGATAGGTGGAGTTCAACCGGGTCCGTTGTGAGATATCTAGAAGTTGCATAAACATAGTGAAAGTGTAATTTTTTCGTACAATAAGTCTTATTAGTATTGTGGTTTTGTTAGATTGAAAATTTGGAATAACTAACTATTTCCTTTCATTATTAACTGTTGTTTGCATAATGTACATATATATTATCGGTATGAATTATCGATAATTAGGCGGGTAATAATATTCGGGCTATAAAATTCTGCTATTTATTAAAAAATGTACCCTATGAAAGTAACACTAGTAGCTTTAAAGATACTTTCAACTTACGATGAAGTAAAATAAATTTGTGAAAATTTTATTTTACCTATTAACAAACTTAAAAGATAAAAAGTAGGTATAAACTCAATGTAATCAAACTTACTGATATTGAGCACCGTTATCTTCTTTTTGTGGTACAAGTTTAAGTTTAATAGTAGTTTGTTTTCCAATAATAATTGGTTCGACATTGTTTGTGATCGGATTTTTATCTGTATAATGCAAGTATATAATGTACAAACGTATCAATTATGTCATCGGCATATATATATATATATATATATATATATATATATATATATCAATGGACGGTTAAGGGTTATCAACTTGGATGGTTGGCCAAATGATTTAATGCAAATCTATGCCACTGACTTATCATTATTTTCTAATGATAAATCTACGTCCCATTTATTAAACGTTCACCGACAAGTATTTGATTTACAAAGTATATTAGTAAGAAAAGAATAAACTAGAATCATGCATCCAGTTTTAATATGAAATGTACATTCTGAGTCAATACGTAATCAAATTAGTAGAAAGCCTAATTACTTTTTAATCGTTGATAAAAGCCATGGGAAAGTCAGATATCTAATTAGAGTTGAAGCATTGAATGAAGCAATTTGTTTTAATATAGATAGAAATCTATTCAATAATACGGATTATTTAAATGTAAGTCGTTTGTATATTTTAGATGTCATAATGTAATTGTTAAACGTATCGAAATATTATTATGCCAGTTGGCCACTTCCAAAACTAAATTAATATCGGAAACGCCCGATTAACTTGACAAGTTTAAACTGAAAAGTTATAATATATTTCGTCTTATTTAACATACTAAACAATATCCGGATTTGGATAATGAAAAGATATCTAAAAAAGATTTAGATACAAAGACTATTTTCTTATTTCAAGCAACATACTGGAATATACAGTCAAATTTCCATGATTTTTATTGATATTTAATTAAGTAAATTTAATAAATAAGTGAATGTTTCATTAAATCTTGATTATACATAAACAAATGTACGTAATGTACGTAATCAAATGAGATTGACAGGTCCTGGGTTTGAATCTTGCTAAGCGAGATCGTGAATGCGCACTTCTGAAGAGTCCCACAATGGAAAGAAACGGTCGTCCAGTGCTTCCAGGTTTATCATGGTGGTCTAGCTTCAGTTGACTCAGGATTTCAACTATATAAAATTACTAAGATCTCCACAAAACCCCATTCTAAAAATATATGACCTTTAATAAACTTACAGCATGAATTTCGTTTTACCAGGTAACATATAGATATGATGTTCTCTTTCAGTAAAATAATAAAAGCTCTGTAGTTATCCCTAACTTACTCAGTTAATTGAATAACACCAGTAGTATCACTTTCATTGAATAAGTACTTAGTCATTCATTTTATTTATTAGCTGAACTTTCATAGAAATTTGTTTTTCAATCATGATGATGATGATTTGTCATATAGATTATAATTATTTTTATGACAAAACGTAACATTCTATAGTCGTTTATGTAGAAGATTACTTTGTCTAAACCGTATTCTCATTTACTTTAATGGTTAAAAGTGAATGAATAAAATGAAGTATAGTGTTGAATGTGAGTTGAATATTGTTTTTTTGAATCTCCCCATTGATGTTTTAGGACTGCAACTGGTCAATCTCTTATTGGCATATGTGCATACTATGCGTATTGCCTCGATATAGCCTTAATTCACAAGCCACTATCCATCTTTACTTATAACAACGATGAGTTATTTCATAAATGTTTAGAAGCATAATACAAATTAGTAAAACCGCTGCATAAATTTACTTGAGAAATGAAACTGCACAATGCCTCTTAAAATCTGTTGTCTAACGACCTGTGTATTGAATATTTTTGGTTTTCTAATCTGTATCTGTATAAGTTACTTGACTGACAACTTTTATTTTGTTTATTTGACTTGTTTTGACATTCCGCAGGAATAAAGCTACTTTCAAGTTTGTTGACATATAATACTAACCGTAGGAAAACAAAATTTCTAAGTAAATAATATGATATTTTTAGTAAGAACACTAAATGAATCCTTAATGATTATTCAAATAGGCAATAATCATTGTAAATCATTACTTAAACTACATTTACCTTTAAACCACTGGAGTTCAGGCAGTGGATTGCCACCTGTGGTAGAGCACGTAAGTTCCAAAAGATGAGCCATGTTCACTGGTTGGCCACTTTTATAACCAGTAATCCTAGGAATATCTGGGGGATCTGTAAATAAATAATAGTATTGGGAATAAAGTTCATCGTGGACAGCATATTCAAAAAAACGTTTAGTGAAAATAAAAAAAATTAGTTTGGGCTTATTTATAAAGTTTCTGACTTTCACTCCAAAAGAATTAAGTTTCAAAAGACATTTGTTTGATATATCATAGCTATTCACATGTCCATTTAACTTTATTCTACACCGTTTGTATCTCATCTGAATCAATAAATTTATGAATATAGTCTATCAAGGAAGTCGTTGAGTCTGTTAATAGGAATATTAAACACTATGATTTAATCTTACAATACAATGAAATAGAAGAACTTGGTAAATAATTATAAACCTATCTTTATAGCCACTGAGACTGTCATAGTTCTTCAGATATATCACATTCAGGTATATCACATTTCTCTAGTATAAACATCACAATAATGATTTTAAGACAGTTAACTTAATTGATGATTAGTTAGATTCTGAACTGTAAAATAATCAAATTTATAGCTGATAAAGATATATTTCTTTTCATCTTAGAATTTCTAATTTTTTATATTTGGTCTCGTTTACAGGTTTTCCTAATTTTTACGTCTATCACTGAAAAGTTTAATTTCATACTTTTAGAGTTTTATTACAATTCGTAGTTATGTCAGTCAGCTACTTTAGATTTATGGTCTTCAATTTGGATTTAAAATGTTCTCATCACTAGTTCCTTGGTTGTGAAGAGTGTTTAATTTTATTGCAATCACAAATTAATCAAAGTTGGATAACTAATGAAAATACAGAGATACTGGATGGCCGTTCCGTCTTACTACGAAACTCTTCAACAGTACCCAATCACAATCCCAATTTTCGAAGTTTTAGCGAGAATCAGTGATTAGTAGAACCAAACCGTGTTTGATGTGAGAAACTATCCACCGTAGACAATAAAACATAATCGTATAATATCTTGGATTAATTGGAATTAGGTATGTATAGCATTGGATCCCAGTTCATTGGTATAGGTGTTAAGCATTCGTGCAAGATTGCAATTCCTAATTTCGGCCCCTGCTTGTGTGGTTTTGTATACGCACTTCTAATGTGTCGTATACCAGGATAGAACAGCCATCTAGTGATTCCAGGTTTCCAATGACGGTCTAACTTAGATCGGTTTGATATTTCAGTGTAGTTCATTGTTTGATAAAATATATGTATTCATACTTTGTTATCAGTTTATTCTTAGCAGAAAATTTGAATCGTTATACAAGTCATCACATTATATATGATAAACTGAAAAACAAATATTTAAGTAGAATCCTTTAAAAAGTTGAAAATTCTTGACCATAAAACAAATGAACGTTTACAATCCAAAAAAACGTTTATCAAGATCTTCTTGTACATCTTACTGACAACAGATCATTTAATAAATACATTTATCATATTGAACATATATGTGAGTATAGTTGTTTTAGATACAAACTAAAATATATATGAATCAATATTTCCATTGAAAATCATTTTGATAGTTCAAAGGTATAGAAGAAACTCTAGTAATTTCTTCAATATTTATTTTCCAATAATGTTAATATCGAATAATCATGAAACAGGATAATGAAAAATACTTATCAATCATATATCTTCTTTTTATTACTTGACAAGATGTACCTTGTCAAATCATATTTTCAAATGATGCATAGTAAGTTATTGAAGATAATGTTTTTAATTTTTCTCTATTTACAAAGTATCCATACTGGAAAATGCTTTTAGTTTATCATGTAGACAAGAAGTAAATTTTAAAGTTGAAATTATTAGTCTATTGAAGCTAGACCACCATGGAAAACCTGGAAATACTGGACGGCCGTTTGGTCTTATAATGGGACTCCTCAACAGTACATAACCACTATCCCGCCTAGCGAGATTCCAATTCACGACCTATCAGTCTCGCTCTCGAATGTTTAACCTCTAGACCACTGAGCTGGTATTATTACTATCTACAGTTTTTCACATTGAAATGTTGCGTTGAATTAATATTATATTATCTTGAAGTAAAGTCATAGTATAGTTCTAAGTTATATATATATATGACAATTTGAAATAAGTTATCTTGGCAATATTATTGTACCTTTAAAGTTACATGAATTAGTTGGTATCAATTCATTACTATTCAAATATAACTAAATACTTAAATAATGTTAAGTTTATATCTCAAGCATACTCATAATTTACACTAAGCTAGCTATCTAATAAGAGATATATACACTCATTATTGAATATTTAACAAACTTCTCAATGTTTATCAGTAGTGTTTTTGTTTAGTATTGACAAACATAATGACAATGACAATTGCTATATATATACATATATAATTCTCACCCAATTGTCACTATGACAAATATCAACTTTCAGTATAAAGCTAAAATAATGAATAAAACTTGTGAATAGTCTTTTTTTTTCTTCTTTTACTTTGTATTTCCTTTTATCAGCCTGTTATTGCCAATCGTTTCTAAGGTGAAAGAGTTTTCCTAGACTTTAGTTTAAGTATCTAGATAAATTATTTTACTTAATATTATATTTCATTCAATCAATTTATAAATGATAAAATCAACTGAGTAGATTGAATTCGCCTTCATATTGATTAGTTAGAGATGGAAATTAAAAGAGAAAAGAAGTTTCAAATACACTGTATTGATATACTGTTATATGTAATTGATGAGAATCATAATCATTAAAACTTTGTTGGCGTCTATTTCAATGTCATTTTTGAATTTAGATTTAATAGAATGTATGCATTTAAAGTCTATATGAGAAATTTAATTGAGATTTATTGGTTTGAACAAGTTGTTAGTATAAGAATAACTAGAACGACACCTATAAACAAATAATGTTGTCTTCGATCAGATCTTTATCAGACTGTACACTAATATACACGATCTGTATGCATATATAAAGATGTCAAACTAATTTAGGCAGTTCATTGGTCAATAATAACAATTATATACATTACCTGACTAAACATGATCAGTAAAACATAAAAAACTGATACTTGAGTTTGAATTCACTTGTCGTTATTTGTTTGAATTTTCCTATTCATGTTTAGGACTACAATACATCAGTCTCTTATTGGTATATGTGCATACTGTGCAGACTGCCTCGGTATAGCCTTAATTCACAAGTATTATAAGCAAAGATGGACAGTATGCACATATGCCAATAAGAGACTGATCAATTGCAGTCCTAAATAACAACGGGAAGATTCAAACAACGAATACCAAGTGCATTCAAACTTCACCCCATTGCACAAGCAAGTGGTTATCAGGACTCAGTAGCTGAGTGGATAACTTGATGGCGTTTGAAGCGATCGATACTGGGTTCGAGTCTCAGAGTAAACATCAACTCTGAGATGCAGGTACATCCAGCTGACTAGTTCCAAATAGTACGAAACGGGCGCCCTTGATTTCACTGCTAGCCACTGTACATCTTTGATTATGATACTTAAGTTTATTATAATTTGTGAGGTAATATTTTTTGTCATTATTACTGACTAACCAACTGCCTCGATTAATTTGGTATTTTTATTGATGCATGCAACTATTGTATATTAGTGTAAAACATGATGAGGATCTGATTGAAAACAATATTGTTCACGTATCTCATAATAGTATTATTTGAATATTGTAGTGGTCAATCTTACTGATCAAAATTATTCTTTATTTGATGATATATCTATTTAATGATACAAAATTTTTGTAACGGTACTTTTAAATTATACATAGTTATGTAATAATGGCATCTATTATACTTCTTTAAAGTTAGTTCATCACATTTCAAATCTCTGGTCAGTGCTTCAGAATGAACAACATCACTAACATTTTATTATGCTTATTTATCTTGCTGCTGTCTGGTAATGGATATAAACGAAATAGCAAATCTAATAATTAAAGAGAACATAAATATGACGGAGAAAAACTTACGGATAATATCTAGGCGCACTCTTGAATCAATGCGTGCATCTCCAACACTCCAAACAAGACAATCTATATAACTTCTGTCATCTTCAGGTCGAACAGTGATCTGAATCCGTGACTCTTGATAGAAACTCTCTCCATCAGGTGTTTTGTAAGTGACAGCTTTATCAACCAGTTGTTTGGGAGATGTTGTAATACTAGTACCAGCTGCTTGAAACAACCACTTAATAGTTGCCTGACCATAATATGGAGCAGTTTTGCAAATAAATGTCTTCATTTCACCGGCACGTGCATATGCCACTTTTTCGTGGCGTCCGCCAGTATGGTCATCATCAATGCTACCAGTTTCTACCGAAATTGTGACATTTGCTGGTGCATCTGTTAGGGAATATAAATAAAGTGTCAGTTTTTCAACCACCATTTTTAATAAAAATTAATAAAACTGACAAAAAATGAAAAAAAAAAATATCAGTAATAACAGATAAGATGGGACGCCATCACGTCATCCATTTAGCTGCTGAGCCCTGATAGGCACTTGCTTGTGCAACGGTGTGAAGTTTGAATACATTTGTTACTGTTTACTTCAATAAACTCATTGATGTTTAGGACTGCACCTGTTCATCCTGTACGGATTGCTCAATATTGCCTTTAGTCACAAGCATTATAAAGTGAAGATGAATGGTGGTTAGCAACATTTCGTCATATTTGGGACTCGTCAGCTGGATATACCTGGATCTCAGATCTATTGCAGTCCTAAACATCAATGAGAAGATTCAAGTAGACAGTACCAAGTGAATAAATAAATGATTTAGCCGAGAATAACATTTTTACTATGTTAGATTATGATGACCAAATTTCATACATAAGTTTGTGTTGTATTGATTAAGAATGAAACTAAGTTAGTTTAGTTATATTTAAAACTAACCACAATCATTGTTTTCACTTATTGTTGTTTTACTTGTATCTTCCGATGACGTTTGAAGCGAAAGGTACTGGGTTCGAGTCCCAGAGTGAGCATCAACTCTGAGATGCAGGTACATCTATCTGACGAGTCTCAAATAGGAGGAAACGCTCGTCATGCATTCCACTGCTAGCCATAAACCATGTTTGCTCACAATCATTGTTATTAATAAAACTATAGGAATTTACTGTCTAATATATATTTTGTGCAATAACTAACAATTCATACGGTTATTATAAGTTTGTATAGTATAAAAACAAAAATAAATTGAAATCGTTTTAAATCTGATTTCCATTTTAAAATATATCTACCAAAAAAAAATAATAAAAAAAAATAAAAAACAACAAAAAGGAAGACAACTTTCTAGTTGATCCACAACAACAACAAAAAAGAAGAAGAAGAAGAAAAACCATGGAGCTATTTCAATGAACTTTCAAAAAAGAGAAAAGAAAAAGGAAGATCTAATTCAATTACACATAGTTAATTTAATTATTTATTTGACTTAAATTATGTTTGATTCATAGAGAACATTATTTCTTTAGTTGTTTATTTAGTGAATAAATTATAAATCAAATAAGGTTGATTGATTAACAAATAAAAAGAGAAAAAAAAAGAAAAGGAAAGATATATGTTCTTGTCCATCTTAATTCTTTCTAATATTGGTGATGAATGTGCATTTGTAGAATAATGAAATTAAAGGTCAGTACTGGTTGATGTAATTGTCTTTTTGTTAGATAGTTTCAATTAAGATTTTTATTAGTTTAATAAACTTTAAGTATTGGAGTTATCTATCTATCTAACTATCTCTCTATCTATCTATCTACCTATCTATCTATTCCTCTATCTATCTAACTATACCTCTCTATCTTTCTATCTATCTGTCTCTCTAACTATCCATCTTTATATATGAAAGGTTCTTCAAACATAAAAGATAATTGTACGTAACATTAAGAATGTTTAAGTTGATAGTTTTAAATAAGTTAACAATTAGGTAGATTGTTATTAATGAAAACATTATATTTTTGTAATATCTTAATGAGTAGATAAATTAGGTTTTTTTTAAATTTCCGACGTTTCGTAACTTAGTGTTAGCAACTTCTTCAGGGAATAAAATATAAGACGTGGTTTACAATGAATTAAGAAATGTCAAAAAAATTTTAAAAAATCTTAATTTATTTACTCATTAGGATATTACAAATATATTATTTTCATTAAAATATATTGTTTATTATTTTCACTAGAAGGGAGTTTATGGAGATTTATAGTAATTTATATGTGAGATCATGAGTCAATTGTAGCTAGACCACCATGGAAAACCTAGAAGCACTGGATGGCCGTTTCGTCTTATTGCAGGACTCCTCAGCAGTGCGAATCAACGAAAAAACGGCCGTTCAGTGCTTCCAAGTTTTCCATGGTGGTCTAGCTTCAATTGATTCATTATCTCAACTATGTAAAATTACTAAAAATCTCCACAAACCCCCCTCTGATAATGATCATATGCCCACTAGTGACTGGCTCCATCAGTATTTCCTGGAGTTCTAGTAAGAAGAAGTAACCAGTGGAGTTGAACCAGGTCTGTTGAGAAATAAGAACTGACTGAAGACATTGGTGAATGGTTGCTCAATTTCGTGGATTGGTTGAAGTTAAACATTAACACCGTTGGATGCCAGCCGGCTCAGTGTTCTAGAGGTTAAGTGCTCAGGCTCGAGACCGGTAGGTTCTGGGTTCGAATCTTGTGAGGCGGGATCTTGTATGCACACTGTTGAGGAGTCTCGCAATAGAACGAAACGGCCGTTCAGTGCTTCCAGGCTTTTCATGGTGGTCTAGTTTTAATTGACTTATTATCCCATACTAATTTAGTTTAAATACATAGTTGATATGTAGTATATAATTAGAACATAAAGCTTAAAAGTAAATAATTTCCCTATATTTGTAGTGAAATGTTGTTTTGATAGGAGTATGGAATGATTGAAATAATAAATGTGAAAAGAAACTGTGTGTACACTTATATGTGTGTTTAGACATATTCGTATATCGTTCATAAACAACAGATGATTACATAAATTCCTGGATTAATGGTATACTGTCATACAGGATAATTTTTTTGTTTTTCTTATTAATAAACTAATATCATCTGATTGGATAATAAATTTTTTTATGATTTTGACAACTATGTTAACAACAACAGTAACTGAAATGTTTATGAAGCATAACCACGAATAATAATGATAATAATACAAAACTAACAATTGGAATACAAGCGAGTCACATACAAAAAAATGAATAGAATGAGAATAAAGTAAGATAGATAATAAAGGAAGTAAACAAACAAAATACTACACTTTCATTCTATTGTATTTGTTTTCATAATATTCATAATATTCAAGGCTCTTGTTAAAAATGACATCAATTAAATGATTCATTCAGATTAACAGTATTGGTAATTTAACCTAAATATTAGTTGCTCTTAAATCTACTATACATTTATTGTCTAAATCTCATTAAGATAAAGGTTATGGAATGATTAAACATACTAAAGAATAAGAATTTTCTCACTAAAGAAAGTGACTAGTAAAAAGGTAGATTTATCTCCTTAATGAAAGATTTTCAATTCGTAAAGTCTACTGATTAATCATGACCATATTGAACAGTTGCAAAATCTCGACTGAATAGTTTTAATTATTCATTACTTCATTATTGAATTTAAAAACATTAGTCAGAATAATGAATTTCATTCAGTTGATGACAGTTTACCTCATATAATGGTGAAAATGTTTGTCAGTAACGAAGTAGTACTTTATGGTTTTGTTAAATACTAGAAGTTTCCACGATGCATATGTTTTGAATGGTTAAAACTTTTGAGTATAAGATTGAACTTCAGGTAAGAACATTACAAGCAAAGATGGATAGTGGCTAGCAGTGGATTCCAGGACGCGCGTTTCGTCCTATTTAGGACTAGTCAGTTGGATGTACCTTCATCTCAGAGTAGATATTCACTCTGGGACACGAACCCAGTACCGTTCGCTTCAAACGCCATCGCGTTATCCACTCAGCTATTGAGTCCTGATAACCACTTGCTTGTACAATGGGGTGTAGTTTATATTCACTTAGTATTGTTTGTTTGAATCTTCCAATCGATGCTTAGGACCGCAACTGGTCAGTCAGAGTGAACATCAACTCTGAGATGTAGGTACATCAAGCTGACGAGTCTCAAATAAGACGAAACGCGCGTCCTGGAATCCACTGCTAGCCACTATCCATCTTTGCCTACAATCCTTGTGAATTAAGGCAATATCGAGGCAATACACACAGGATGCACATATTCCAATTAGAGACTGTTCAATTGCAGTCCTAAAACATCAAGGGGAAGATTCAAACAAACAATATTAAGCGAATTCAGATAAGAACAGTTTGACAGTTTCATGATAATACAAACAAGCTACAATATGTTTCACTTATTCAATGATTCTAATGATGACATCATTTCAAGATTAAATTATATTACATGAAAATTAAATCAATTTGGAGTTTTCCCGTTACTTGGGTCATGAACAACATAGAAGTTGGAATAGGTCTGCATCAGTTGAAGTTGCCACGCCATATCAAAACAGTTAAATGAAATTACTAACACTGGAAAATTTGGGAAACGTATTGCCAAGTTTTATTGAAAGTAAATTGATAATAGTTTAAGGTCTACTTTCATATTTAGTTGTAAATTGGTGAAAAAATATTTACTTGTCATAATCAATCAACTATTTGTTACTCAGAAAAAAAATTTAGCTTTGTACTTCGTTTGTCATTTACGTCAAGTTAAATAAATCATTGAATTAGTAGTTGAATTAAATCGACAAAACGTCTATCCTTTTCATTTCAACCATTAAAGCTCGTTTGTCTAAATGAATTTTGATTCATGGTTTGTTTATGGCGTATAGTGTACGTAAACGTTAAGATTTTTATAACTATAGATTACTGTAAACCACGTAGGATAATTTATTACAAACCTGTCGTATAGATATGGTCTTCTATGTGGTACTGGTTAGTGCTTTCTCTACGACTAATTACCAATTCGTTGTCAATAAAGAAGCATGAATTATAAAGTAGTATGTTGAAATGTTTTTAGCTTTCCAATCCCTTAAAGGTCTAATCGAGAGGCTTGAAGTACTTAAAATGCTTAAAATACTCAATATGGTCTATACATATAAGAAATTTCGTCTAAATTAGAGCGAATAGTTTCATAGTATTTAGGCGCCAAGTTGATGTAGCACATTTAATAGGAGAAATATATTTGAAAAATCTCAGTGAATGAATTTGAAGAAAATCCAACGTTTCGCCTGGCAACCTGATTCATGCTTTTTCAAGAAAATATAATCAAACTTCAAAAAGCTTGGATCAAATTGCCAGGGTGAATCGTTGGATTTACTTCAAATTCATTCTCTGAGATTTTACAAATATATTCTTCCTATTTAATTGTGTATACAGTCTAGTCTACCTAGTATCTATCATTAATTTAATGAAAAGTTTATTCTGTTCCTGTCTGTAATTCCATCATTATCATTTGTAAAATACAATACTATCAATTGACAGGTAAATTTGTACTAGTGTACTTGTGCATCCTTTGGAAAGAATGCCATAAACAAACTTACAAAGTTAAACAAAATAATAGATCAAATTATGACATCAAAAACACCGAATTACATTGATCAAATAGGTTTGTTTTTGATTTATTTACAGAATGTTTCAATTCAAACAGTTGGTATAAAATTAAAAAATAATGAAACACTTCACTCATATTAATTTTAAAATTTAGGTATTTACACTCTGTTATTAGGTTTTATAGAGACTGACTCGATTAATCAGGGGTATCCCTTATAAACTAATATTAGTTTACATATTATTGAAAACAAGGGAGCAGTGGTTTTCATTGCTAAACATATAGAATGCCTTATTGTCTAAATGAAGACTCAGGAAACATTCTTCTGACCTCTAGTTACTTAAGACCGGAAAATGTTAGAAGGTAGAGAATTAATTTGTAACTTAGTAGAGGATAATGAAACTCAACAGATCATTTTTTTATACTTACAGAATTTAAAATATCTTAAGAACTAACTGAAATTAATCTTCAAGTAGATGGTCTATCTTAAAAGACAAACACTATTTACTGGTTGTCAATATTAGATCACATCTTATCGACTTATTATACAAATATACTAATTAAAATGAGTTATATGATCAATAATAATTCATTATATTCGTTTTCATCTTTGGAAGGCGATAAAACGTAATGAATCTTTGATAACATCTTTCATCTTCAGTAACAATGAATGATTAACATATTGCATTTATCGAAACAACATGAGAAATTTGAAAGATATCAATTGTGTAGCACTAAAACTTATAAGATGGTGGTTGGAGGTGGCCAACAGGAAACTCAGGACCCTGGTTGGCACTTATCAGCAAGGTGTACCTGTAATCTTGAGGGAACAGATGCTCCCTGACAGATTCGATCCCGTGTCACAATCAGAGACGTTACCATTGAGCTATTCAGTGGTAACCCGGGTCCATGGTTTCCTGTTGACCACCTCCAACCACCATCTTATCTCAACGTAGTGTACACAGTGTCGAGCCACCTAGACTATTGGCCACATTGCAACTTGATCGATAGCATTTGATCAGCACTAAGAAGGACTTGACACGCATGACATTGATCACCACCCAGTGATCAATCAACTGTGACTAAAAATTGTATCATGTTAGATCACTTGTGTGTGTGTGGTGTCTTTGAGGAATCCTATTTTGAAAGCCTTTATTATAGAATTTCTTTAAATATAACCCACATTTAATCACAACAAATAGTTATCAAAAATAGTTTATAACCCCAAATTTTCTCAATCAAAGAAAGTGATTACTTCATTATGTTCCTTTAGATGACTTTAATTTTTAATTCACTCTGGTGGTATATTATACACAATCGTCTAATTGTGAATTTGTGTTTAAAAAAACAAAACTAGCAATAACATCATTATGATTGTCAACTGTCAATTTTTTCATAGTTAAAATTAAATCTTGTAAATGTTTGTCACTATTTATGAGAAGAAAGGAAACGGATATCTGATTTTTTTATTATACCTTCAATTAATGTAAATTTTAATTCATTTACCTAATTAGTTATGGAAGAATTTTCTTGCATTCTGAGATAGATTTTAACTATATTTCACTATTAGAAGGAGGTTATGTGGAAATTTTAGTAATTTTATATAGTTGTGAGATAGTAATTCATTGAAGACATTGGTGAATGGTTGTTCAATTTCGTTGATTGGTTGAAGTTAGATATTAACACCGTCAGATGCCGGTTCATTGATCTAGAGGTTAAGTGGTCGGGTGCGAAACTGATAGGTCCTGTGTTGGAGTCTCGTGAGGCGGGATGGTGGATGCGCACTGTCGAGGAGTCCCACAATGGGACGAAACAGTCGTCTAGTGCTTCCAGGTTTTGCATGGTGGTTTAGCTTCAATTGACTGATGATTTCAACTATATATTTCATTATGTTAACAATATGAAGTACAGAGATGATATTCTTAATTGAACACTATATTTACAGTTACATCAGTGAAACTAGTAAGTTACTAGTCCTTTCCATTTATGGAGTTGCTAAAAAGATGAATTAGAGCTGCACTTTTGATTTTCAAGTAATTTACGATCAATTATCTATTTTTCTTATTACTTGGGATTTAGTGATTCAGTTAAGGTTAAGCGGCAATTACATTGAAGTATAAATATTACATGATTAAGAAAGTGTAAGTGTCCAGCTACAGAGTTTATGCAAACATTTTAGATTTTCCTGATTATTCATTCACTGGTTCTGTTATTAAACACAAGATAATAGGTAAACATTATGTACTTATTTTAAAATTGCTCCATGAAGGCTATTAGGCTGATCACATTCGTAATCAGGAAACAAGGTAAATTGGTTATATAGAATGTATTATTTATATGTTCGCTACAAGCATCCAAATATCTTGGGAACAACAACACCGGGATCCAGGTATATCCAGCAGACTAGTCCCAGGTAGGGCGAGAAGCGTGCCATGGGTTCTACTACTAACTGTAAACCATTTCTCTTATAAAAGGAGATGAAAATAGTTAAAGGCACTAGTTCTAAATATCAAACTGGACATATTCTTTTTTCTAGGATTTTAGATAATAGCAGCAGTTATCAGTTGTTTACCATTTTATCATTCAATAAGTCTTTGTTATAATTACTGGAATTTAGGTGGAACTCTTAGGAAAACTTCGTTTCATAACAAATTCATCATAACATTTCAGTGGTAAATAGGTCCATTACTTGATAAAAATATTTGCTGTGCTTTTTCATCTTATCTGTTTACTACATAGTCTTCCTTACTTGAGTTCTCAGATGTTTTCAACCTCTAGTTAACTGTTATATGAAACATACGTGTCATGTTTTAGTTTAAGATAAGTTACATTTTTTATTTATATTGTGAATCATGAAAATCATTGAAAAAGAATATTTCTTTCCTATAGATGTTTCAAATAACTAAGATATTACTACAAGCTAGTTTAGGATGATCAAGACTTTGAGGCTAGATTGGGTATGTGCTACTATAAATTAACTACTGTACACTAATAAATTAATTATGGCAATTATTATTATTATTTAAACACATAAATATTGGTACAAGGGGGCACCAGATATATATGCTCCGCACCAATCTCATTTGATCTGTGTGAGAGCCATTATCCCACCCAGGTGCTCAAACTGAAGCAGGGTTATGTTAATAGGTACATCTCAAACCAATTGATCGAGTGTTATGTGAACAATCAATTCATAAATCAGACTAATTGACTACTGACGAAATTTCTTGTTGTGAGGTAAACATATGATAATTATACGAAACTGATATAACTTATTTAAAAATCTGGGATATTTAAATGCAGAAAAAAAATGAAAAATGAAACCTACGTTTCACAAATATCGTGATACTTGTTTGATGAGCCGAACCTACAGGATGTCCAGTTTCACAAATCAGTTTAGCAGCATGATACTTTCGAGTAACTCGTTGAATGATCAATGTATTTACTAATTGATCTTTCTCTTTAGTAAGTGTATAATGCAGTGGTTGAACATCTTCGGAAATAAAATCTCCCTGCTGTAATTGTGATAATTCTGGTGTGAGGATTTTCTGCGATGAACTACCACCACCATTGCTACTATCTAAACTTCGTAGATAGGCTTCAACGGATGTGTAATCACTGAGTCTAGCACCGCCCCTTCCCCCGATTCCACTGATTTTCTGAATATCGTTGTCATCAACTTGACTTGGCCTAATTAACCACCTCCAGAATAGTCCACCTAAAGGTTTGCCAGGTGGTGAAGATACACATACTGCACGTAATTGTTCACCATCTAAATAAACGTGGTTTGATTCAGGACTGACGATTTTTGGAGGACCGGGAGGAGCTACAAAAGTAATATAAAAACACATGAATGATAGCTAAGTTTGTTTTCTTGCTTTCTTTATAACTTTGAGCAGAATGAACAGAAAAGCACAGATTCACTTTCAAACTATAGATAATTTACCCAGACCTGTGTTGAATACTACTTCAAAGAGGTTTAATAATCATGAATACAAAATGCGGTATGAATCATTATAATGATTAATAATAGGGGGTGAAATTAATTTCTGTTTAAGGGGAAATCTACAATCAAAATCTAAACGGATAAATAACCAATTTTTAATTTTTTTTTGTTAATTATGGTGGGAAGTAACACATGATCAGACAAATAAATAAGTAAAATATAGCAATATATAGCATCTTGAGCCGGCATGACTGAAATTGTTTGTTCTTTATGATAAATGCGATGTAGTATGTTAAACATAATACACTAAAAAGTATTTTGAAAATATACACTTACGAGTGGAATGTGGAAGCGATGAAGAAAATAGTTTCATTGAACTGTTTATTATTTCCTTAAAAGGGTTTTTCTATATTATTTGCCAACCGAAATGGTTGTTTATATAGTTGAGATAGACAGATATAAATAACAAAATTTAAGGGTCAATTATAAGTTATACATATAGAGAGAGAGAAAGAGGAGAGTTAGTAACTGAAGATAAGCTCTGAGATCTCAAGTGTTTACAGTATGCTAATTTATTATGATGAAGTGAAAAGAAGTTAATCATCATTATACTAGTTGAAACCTTCATATATTTCTTACATATACTCTAGGCTAATATCATATACCATTTTTGACCTTCACTAGATTAATGTCTGTTATCGTTTAACGATAACCATTCCTTGTTTCAGTTAGTACAATACTAAAACAACATAAACTCTAACTCGTAATAACTCGTTATTAAAGTATCAAAATAGAGAATGAACTTGATATAAATTTAAATGAATTATTCACTTTGATTTATCATAAGAGTTTATGATTGCTTTCTAAATTTAAAAATAGATGATTGTAGAAAACGAAACAATTCGACCTGTAGCTATTCTGGATTAACTGCCGCTTCTAAGCGCGGGTAAAGGAGGAGGGTTTGGCATGGGGTTAGCAACCGCATCCCTTGAAAAAACTAACTGGCTAAAAAAACGCTAACCTGAAAAGTAAGAGAACGAAACAATCATTCTCCTTATATATTAGAAGTTGTATACTAATGATTTTTTTTAGAGAAAGTTGTGTGTAATAAAACATAAAATTTATTTTTCTGAAATCAAAAAATCGGCTCGTTTGATTTTTTTGTTGTCGAAATAAATACCAGTAAATTTTTATTTTTACTAATATTTAAATGACAAAGAAAGTTGTTTTGTATAGTACAATTTGGTTATAGAGTGTATGGCAAGTTTCCTGTAATCAATTTTGATTATGGTTAATTTTGGTTAAAGGTCAGAAGGGGTTTTGTGGAGAATTTAGTATTTTCATAGTTGAAATCATGAGTCAATTGAAGCTAAACCACCATGGAATCCATCATCCAACGGTGTTAATGTCTAACTTCAAGTTCTTTTCTTACCTTACGTAGCAGACAATTTTATTTGAACAGTAACAACAATTCGCATATTTCTTCGTACTATTATAATCACTATCATATTTGTATCGCCCTGTATACTTGATCACATGACAGCCTATGCACATATCTCTCTAACTAAAATGTTGACAGCTTAAATATCGCTCGATGTGCTTGTAGATTTGTTATCCATGCTATCCACTAATAAACTGTAGTCGCCGCTTCTGAATGCCTTCTGATTTCAACAACCATTAGGATTTATATGATAGCAGTTATCAAGGTGATTGATTAACGAAGAAAAGTCAATACAAGTGTAAGTTCTGATAGCTTGTTTTCACCACTAAACAAAATATTATCCTGATGCTTTTAAACATGATGTCATGTTTCACTTTAATATATAATGCTTGATAGGACAAGATTGTTAACCAGCAGATTGGTTATGTAATTCGATTGTATGATTTCAACAAAAATCGCATATGAACTAATCGTAGAATCGATGGTAGCTGTTACGAATCACTTGTCATTTAGACATAATATAACTGAAGCTAAAGACAAAACTGTGTGCAAATACACAATTCGTTGATAAATACAGTTCTTTTATACCGTGAAAAGTCCATATATGGTCTATAGTGAATGTATTGAGTATTTATCATCATATGATATAAGAAAAATATGTTGGGTTGAAATTTAATTTTTTTTGTATTAAATTTATTTCCATTAATAAGTGAACTGTATTATAGTTTAATTGTATTCTAAACCAACTAATTTTAGTTATCTTGAATGAAAAAAGAATGAGTAGCAACGAAATATCATGAAACTTACAACTAAGCAACTATCTATTTATTGTAGTATAGAATGACTAGATTTCAGATTGTATAGTTATATGAACTCCTTATTTTTAGGTAGAAGAGAACATGGTTTCAATGGATTAACTATTTGAAAAGTATTAAAAATATAGGCAACCAATTCGGAGGCGTTAGCTTTCGCTAATTTTGACTGTATTGAAGACTAAGAGCTAATCTCTGATATTTATCATTACACTGTTAATATGTAATAATATCTATCCACATAATTGCCTTATCTTTAAGTTAATTTTATTTCATATCAAAATCATGTTTCATGTTCTAGACAATTTTCATGGATATACACTAGCAGTATATGGATGAAGGGAAACATATCAAGCACAACGATTGGTTTATTGTTTAATAGTTATCTTTGAGCACTAGACAAACATACGTAAAGCAATGAAACAATAACTGAACTATTGCTTGTTTAAAATGAAAGTATATATATATATATATATATATATATATATATATATATATATATATATATATATATATAATGAAAGGCGACAAGATAGGCTGAAAGTGTAAAACTCCATAGTAATGCTCAAACAATGTACGGTATTAGTAAAAATGTAATTTTTCACTTCTAAATGTAAAATGCAATGACATTCTTCGTTTGCTGGTTTATTCATATCGTTACATTGCATTTTCAGACCTATATATAACAATTTGGTGATTTTTATTAGAAGTATAATATGTAGTATTATTCATACTTTTATACTTAAAATATCATCATTGAGTCTGAAAAAACAAACAACTGATATAAATCACATCAATATCAATGTTTAATTATTTAGATAGGAACAGAGTTAATTTTCTTTACATTCTCAATAACTGAATCATTCGTGATGAAAAATTAAGAAATGATTCAAGTTTACCGGTTTTGAAATTATAAAATGCTTATTCTTGTATGCCTATTCTCAAAATAATATATGCCCCCAAATGCCCTGGTACGGCCGAGAGTGGGGAGAGTCCGCCCTCCCTCTCGAAATGCTCTCACATGGCCACGCAAATACAGCCACTGTCAGGGAAGTCTTACTAACTGCCTCTTCGTGGCATTACTGTTGTTTACGAAATTTAGAGTAAGAAAAGCGAATGTCCAGCACTTTAACCGGGTTGGTGGACACGGAAAGTCCACCTAGGGGAGTTGGAAAACCCTGATTCCAAACCAATGGTGCACATGGGCTTCAGTATCCTGAGGGAACAAATGGCGTACGAATCAATCATTGATCACCGGCTACCATGGGACTGCATCTCCTCACGATGCTTCACTGCCTTGTGGATCAGACCTTTAGGTCAAAGGCTCCGGTTGTGATCCCCTAAAAAAACCATTTGTTTCAGTTTTGGCACCTGGGCAGTATCACAGCTCTCACACAAATGAAATGAGATTTGTGCGGTGCATATATATCTGTTGCCCCTTTGTACCAATATTTATGTGTTTAAATAAATAAATTAATAAATAATGATATATTATTGAAGTAAAATAGTGAACAACTCGGTTAGAAGTCACCTCATTCAATATTAGCATTTTAAAATGTTATAAAATAGGATAAAGGTTCATTTGTTGAAAGCCTGTCACGTAATCTTCATAATCACAGTGAACGTACTATTCTAGTTTACAATCAGCTCGATTCCAGATTGATCATAAAATTATATTACTTAAGGAAGTTTGCAAGGTTGTATTTGGCTAAATAATTGATTTCATTTATATATCATGTATCATCTTTTAGCATTCCTGATGCTTAGTAAGATACAAAGTAATGAGCGGAAGTATTTGTATATGTTATCAGTTCTTATTATTTGGGGGAAACACATCGCCTTTGTAAAACAAACTTAGTTATAGGTACAAAGTTAACATTTATCAAATTTGATTTGATATTGAACAAACAAAAGATAATGGAATAATTTAGAAAAAAAGATCATCAACTCACTATGAACATCTACAGTAATTGTTATTGATAAATTACGTTTCATTGGATCATGATTTATTTGAGTTGCAGAATTTGACACACTGCATGCAATTTCATCACCATCTTCTAAACCAGCTTTAAGAATACTTAAAGTGGATCGTTCTTCATTCTCTTCATTATTAATAATAGGATGCAATTTACCCCAAACTTTGAGTAGATTATCTAGAAGAAATGAAGAAGTAAAATCATATGAGAAATATTCTGAATTTTATTAAAGGTAAATAAAAGTAAATACGATTTTTGATCATTATTTTTTCACATTACAAACATGTTGGTTAAATAGTTGTAGGAAATTTGTTCATTATATGGCATTATATATAGTGTAAGGACAGCTCGTCGGCAAACTCAAAGAAACCTCAAGAGGCCCAGAAAGACCCGAAGACATTTCATCCTATCTCCGCTAGAGAAACATTCTAGAATGTCAACGTATAGCTATCCTACTGGATGAACAAGGAGGGTCCCCTATGTCCCTATTGGCTGTCCGAAATGATGACTTACTATCAGCTAAAAAACTATAAATACATGAGTTTTTTACTATACTTTACACTATTTGGGACTAACATTGCTACTTACTAGTCGTCTGTCTTCTGTCTAGAGACGTTGCGGGTTCGATCGTCCAAGTAGTCTAGTAGTACGCGTCATAGTAAGGATCCAAAGCTCTAGATATAAGGATTTTCTGACAGTGTTCCCTTCAATGAATTCACATTTGTTGGTTAAAAATACATTTCAGTGTGCATTGAAGTACGTTTATAAAACTATCGATTAATTAACGGTCGATTGAACAACAATGAGCTGAAACCTCAAAGTTTATTCTTGCATAAACTAATCTAATAATCTAATATATTTACTACATTACAAATATGTAACTATAGCTTCAAAGTATTTCTTGTAACTGATCAATGATATCAGTAAAGTGTTCAAGACTTTCAATACAAAAATGAGAAGCCATTTTGCTTATCGAGTATTTTTTCAAGCGATTAAACAATTTATTCTTGATAAATAGTGACATATTCAGCTTGCTTTTGGTATTGTAGTTTACATAAATACATTGCAAACATTCCGCATACATATAAATTAAAACTTGTTTCTTCTCCATTGGAAGAGACCTCTGTTTGTTGATTAGTCGTGTGATGAAAAGATGGTTCAAAATAAGACTGCGAATCAGTTGATGCGCACATGAAGCATTTGGACCGCTATTGAGTGTCTACCTGTCAAATTCTGACTTTGTTATTGTCTTCATAACAGTAGATCAATTATGGTTTTATTACTAGATGCATTAGATGGCCATGGAAAAAATAATCTGACTTCATTTAAAAGAATTACTAAGTAGATTACATGGTCTGCACTATAAGATCAGTCAAGTATAAAAACAAACAACAATACGTATTTTGGGTATCCCTTTGCGCTGAATCCATGTTTGCTTCAAGATTACCCTGTTTATTTTATTAAACAGGAGTAGTAAGTCCAATGAAAAAAAGTAATCAGGTAAGGTAAATGACTTACTCATTTTGGCTACATCATTGGGATTCATCGGTGTTTTAGTTTTAACCTCCAGATTTGGTATTTCATGGCGGTTAATTAACCACTTGAAAGTTGGAGCTGGTCGGCCACCAACTGCAGAGCAAACTAAACTAATACGCAAAATGGGATCTGGTTGAGAAATAATCAATTTTCTCTCGGGTAACTGTACATTTTGATATAAAATTTGTGGTTCATTCGGTTTAACTGAATGTAAACACGTAAAGAAAGCAAACAAAAACTCGTTATCGTCTTTCATTATTTATTCTATTAGTTTTGGAACTTGTAACTCCAGTTTTACTAGTCATGAGTAGGTGACTCATAATAACAATAAATGTTACAAAGTGTAAAACGTATTCAAAGTTTACTTTTCTTCTGCAATAGATTTCAATAAATGTAAGCTATACTAATAAGAAAAATCAAACTACAAAACTAAACTAAATCATTATGGAATTTTTCAGTATGATATATTTTGAGTTCAAACTTATGAGAACCAGAAACATAGTTATTTAGGAACATTTCCTAACGTCATAGTGACAAAAATTATAATACACTGTCAAGATAGCATGTAGAAATGATACTTTTTTTCCAGAAATGATAACAACTGAACCGGAATTAACAGTCAGGGAGTAATTCACTGGAATTTGGAATGTGTAATTTTTCACTAAATCTAAACAGTCTAAAGTTGTCGGGCTCACTGAGAAGTTCAGAAATCCATATATTAATTAGGTTTGGGGCAATTACCCACCAAAGGCAATGGGAGATGGTCACACAACGTCGTGTACTGTTTGGAGTTAGACATTATCACCATTGGATCCCGGCTCACTGGTCTAGAAGTTGAACGTTCACCTGAGTTCAAAGGTTCTAAGTTCGAATCCTATGTGCGAGATATTAGATGGGCAATACTGAGGAGTTCAGTAATAAGACGAAGCGGCTGTCCAGTGCTTCCAGGTTTTCAGTAGTGGTCTAACGTTAATTCAATCATGATTTTAATGAAGCTAATGCACATTGAGATGGCAAGAGAATTGCTTCAAACAGGAATAAAGTACAGTCCAGTTTACGATAATCTTAAGTGTTATACTGTTTGAGGTCATTATGAAGAATAGCTTGCAGACAATTTTGACCTGAAAATATTTAAGTCATAATAGAAATGCTAAAATGAATCACGAATCTTATGAAATTTACGATTTGATGGTAGCCTACCTTTAGCGCGATTTAGACTTTCGATAAGAAATTGATTATGAGCGAGAATATTCCCACCATAATTTCACTTCTATATTGTAAATTTAAGTCAGTTAAGTGGCTGTTTCTTGAATTTAGTAAAATAGGTTAATTAAATCACAGTAACTTATATATTGGTCGGTAGGAAACCCAACTAGTGTTTGGTGACACTACACGTTCAGATTAAATGAATAACTCAGAGAGAAATTAAACTACTATACGTATACCCTAGTCAATCACTTGATTTTCTTGGAGTTCTAAATGGATGAAGAAAGTTATGGAGATTGATTCTTATTTCATACTAAAGATTCATTGAAGGCACGATGATGAATTATGCATATACCCTGAGTATATTGATGAATTTCTATTCAAAGAAATGATAGAATTTAGTTACTGGTTATTCTAATTATACCACATTTCCTTTAATACTATTCACAATGTTTTGTTTCATTGTAAACATTCCTTTAAAAGAACCTAAATGGACTAAACTTAATTGAAAATGTTTCTAATAGGATTTTTGACATTAGGATGGAGACAGAAATGTAACTTATCGATTTGTATGATCACGAGTTTTAAAAAATTTTGTAACCAGGACTATCCTCATAATGATCTACTATTATTTAACCAAGTTTTTGTGAAGTCCTAAATTCCGACTTTTTGTAGTGAGATGGACTATTTTTTCTCATCCGAATGATTATGTTAGAAATTGTACAGTTTTTAAAACAACAACAGGATTGAAAAACTCCACTTTGAGTTTAGTTGAAGACATTAGAAACCTTTACAACATGTTCTATCTGTAACTAAACTTTCTCCTATCCTCTCAAGTGAACAGTTCTATTAAAGTCCTAAATAGTTAAATAATAATTATTATTATCTACTGTTTGGTGTATATGCTTAGAAAAGTTCAAGACTTATAATACATAAGTAATGATACATAACAGTACATTATACATGAATAAGTGGTTAAGAACTATGAAAATTGGATTTTGTTTTCCTATCATACTACATATTATCAATTTTGTTCACTTTTGGGTAGTTGTTGAACTAACCAACTCAATGAATGCTAAACATAGTGAACAGCCAAGGAAGTAGCTCAACAAATTAAAGAAGATTTAAATTCTGTGGACAACAAACTTAAAATATGTCAGCAGCTGTGTGATAAAAGATTATAATGAAAACATTTACAATGAGAAACATTATTAATCCAAATTTTCATTGAATATTTCAACTAAATCTTACTAAGAACTTCTAGATACGTTTTTCTTCTTAATAATGGATGATTATTAACCGGAACTGGAGTAACTTGACATTCATATTCTCCAGCATCATCACGTTGAACATCTGTAATTTGTAATGTATGCTCTCCTCGTCCAACATCGCCAATTATTCTGAATCTTGAGTAACCCGGTATAGAACGATCATAACCTAGGAAATCACAAATTCAAAAATTAATATCTTCATAATTTAGCTAAAATTAATTAGAAAACAGATATAACATTAATGGAAGAATCCACTATTCTCATGAAATAAAGTGATGTTAGTGAGCATCAAACCTTCATCACTGATAACTGTCTAATTTATCAAACAACAATGTTATACATAGTTACTGAAAGATGACAGATTTTAAATTTATAAGCCCAATTCAACCGGATATATAATCATTTCAACTAACAAATATTTCATAGCAATCTGTTTTTAATTATGTACTTTTGGACATGAATTAACTGAAGAAATAAACTTTTAAATGGGATATTTCGCTTGAGTTTCCCTATACTGTAACAAGTCGAAAATTGCATTTTGACATTTTATCTTGGATATTATACAATAAGCTTAAAAGTTGAAGTTTCGCGGGTGGGATCGTGCATGCGCACTGTTGAGGAGTCCCATACTGGCACGAAACGGTCGTCCAGTGCTTCCAGGTTTTTCATGGTGTTCTAGCCTTAAGTGACTCATGAATTCAACTCTGGAATATAGGTGCATCCAGCTGACGAGCCCCAAACGGGACGAAACGCGTGTTCTGGATTCCGTTGTAATACACTATCCATTTTTGAATATAGTATTTATCATGGTTAAAATTCAATTATGAAAACAATGAGCTGGTCGGCGGCCTATGCTCCATTGGGAGTAACAGGCGTAAGTAAGTAAGTAAGTAAGTATGAAAACAATGAAAACTATAGAGTGTTTGAATACTTTTCGTCATAGTCTTTCGCTTATCTGAACTACTCAGTAATTAGCACATGAAGGATTAAATCAAAGATTTTTAGCCTAATTTTCACTGAAACAAGTTTTCAAAATACAAACAAAAAAATGACAAGGTTATTAAGTCATAATAAATCATGAATGGAAACATTACTCAAATAACTAATGTTCATCTCGTTAAGCATAACTTGACAAAAAGAATGAAAAATCAACTGATTAATTTTCAAAAATTAGTCTAATGACTATTTTTATATAGTTGAGATCATGAGTCAATTGAAGCTAGACCACCATGGAATATCTGGAAGCACTAGACGGCCGTTTTGTCCCATTGTGGGACTCCTCAGCAGTGCGCATCCACGATCCCTCATCGCGTGATTCCAAGCCAGGACCTACCAGTCTCGCGCGCGAGCATTTAACCGACAGACCACTGAGCCGGCCTTTATCCAACGGTGTTAATGTCTAAATTCAACCAATCCACGAACTTGAGCAACCATTCAATAATGTCTTTAGTGAGTTGATATCTCCCAACACACCTGATTGAACTCCATTGGTTAATACTTCTCACTAGTACTCCAGTAAATACCTAATGGAGCCAGTCACTAGTGAGCATATGATCATTATCATAAGGGGGTTTTGTGGAGATTTTAGTGGGTGTGCACCTCTGAGGAGTCCCACAATAGGACGAAATGGCCGTTCAGTGTTTCCAAATTTTCCATGGTGATCAAGTATCAATTGACTCATGATCTCAACGATATAAAAAAATTACTAAAATCTCCACAAAACCCCCTTCTGATAAGGACGATCGTTATTTTTAAAAACTGCTTATAAATGTTCACTCTTAACTATCTATTAGGAGTTCTATAATGATTGTGTTGTGATTATAAGCAGTTGATTTACTATAAATTTTCGTAACGATTATTTCTTATTGTTCAATTAAAGATACATGCTGTTATAAACAATAATGATCGTTTGATTTAAATTTAATCATTTTATTTGAGAATTGCATGAATTTGTTGTTTTAATTGACATTTTTTAAGTGTATCTATCAGTCCGGTTAATTTTGAGTTTACAGCTGAAATTGTAACTTTGAAGGCTTATCTCAGGGTACATATACTTAGGAAGTTACTTTTAGTTACAGCTTAACTTTATCTTTCCAGTTTTAAACATCTCACTAATCTTCAGCATAGTGTCGTTCGAGATTGAACATCATCTTATTCACTAGGTCTCACTATTATTGTCTTATAAATCAGCCGGATATTTACTAACTTTAACCGGTTTTTCAAACCCGTTCCTTCAAAATCATTATCATAATTTTGTTTGAGACAGATCTATCTCCTATGCATTGAAAAAAATCATTTCTATTGTAAATATAGATCTAACTATATTAATGTTTATTCAGTTAATTTACCTGATCATTCAACTGAAAACAGAAAACTAATACTGATATATTCTAGTCGTGTAATGTTTTCTTTTGGGTGATACTCATTTTTTACTTAAATCAATGTGTTAATTTACTATATGATGTCTACATATATATTATGGTACAACCTGAATAAGTAAGTTTACTTAGAGTATGAATAAATAATACAAAATCTGTTCCATGATATTGATCATAATCTAGTCTGCCAACAGTTTATGGTATCTTGAATGAAGATACTCCAGATTATTCAGCTTAAGTACGATCCTGATAATTTATTGGTTGAAATAAAGAACAAATAGATGGTTAATCATAATAATTTTATACATTCACTCATATTGTACATAAATATCATTTGACACATATTACAAGTTTATCTAAGTTGAATACATGAGTCGATTGTGTTTAGTTCTTGACATGATATACCCATCTTTAAATATGATACAATTTTTAAAATTAGTCGGAACAATTTCAAAGTCTTAATAATAATACCAAATGAGAAAAAATAACTGAGCCATATTTAACTAATTTAATGAAATATCTAATTAATATTATCAGTTAATGAATAACTAATGAAGTTTATTGAAGAGGTAGAAGGAAAGCAACTGTGTGTTCATGTGTACATAAATGTGCTGATATGTTGGGAATGTTGGGAAACAATGATATTTCACTAGTGAACTAGTATCAAACGATATAAAAATTACTCAATACATTACTTGTAATTAATTTAAAGAAAACATATATTTTCCTACTCATAAATTACAATATTTAATCCATACGACTATCGTAACCAACGGTTGGAGACTCAGAGTGACATGGCTTAGAATTGATCATAATGTCGTGGGTGTGTACACCCTGTGCCTTTCCTTAAACAGTGACATTAAAATTATTTTATATCTTTCTTATTATGAATTAATTCTTTTCACCTGTATCATATTCTTATATTCAATCTTTTATACATATATAACTGTTATTGAAGTAACTGCTTTTATGAATTCGGCGTTCATCTTGCTGTGCTAATGAGGTATGGCAACTTGAACCGATGCATATTTGTGCTTGATCCTACGTTGTAGATGACTGAATGACTCAACGGATTTAATATTTAATTAAACTTAATGAACACACTAAATGATAGTTTGCTCTGTAATCATATTGTTTATTTCACAATACTATTGAGAATCCTTAACAATCTGATTAAGATGAACAAAATAAAACAGATTATATATTAATTAATTTGATATGAATCAGTTTCAGTGCTGTTTCAAAATAGGATATAATTTTGGGAGATCATTCAAGAAGTTTCATCGACAGGCATGATCAGTGGGGTTCGACCTAACTACCTAATAATGATTGAAGTAAACCACTGGATTCCACCCAATGATTAGAAGATTATGCACTAGTCACAAGATCTAAAGATCTATAGTTCGATCTCCTTTTGGATCATAGATATTCACAGCTCAGAAGCCCCATTCTAGGATGAAAGAACAGTCTTGTGCTTTATAGTTTTAAAAGGTTGTTTAGCTATACTAAATCGATCATATAAACTTTCCAATTGAAAGTTCCAACTAACAAATATCTTTCCCTTTTATAATCGTTTACGTTTTTTTTTCAGAAATAAAACAATTTAAACCATAAAAATAAGCCTCAATAAATAAATACTCATATTGATTAACTTATATAAGGTTTGAGCTGAAATTATTTTTACACACACACACATATATATATATATATACAGGCGCACATAGAAACAAAAACAGCAATATATTTTAACTTTTAAAAGTTTTGTATTGGCTGTCATCAAAATGTCTGCAAAAAGAAGACTGAGGAGTAGAGAAAATGAAAACAAGAAAATGTGAAACAACAAAATGGATTATGTATGTATTTTTTTTAATAAAAAAAAAGAAATGATACAGGCTTTGATAAACGTACGAATTTAAAGAATACAACATTTTATAACGGCATTTAGTAACAAAGTGACTTTAAAGCCGGTTATAGTTATGAATAAAAAATAGTGTTTATCCTGTTTTTCAGTAGGTTACAAAAAAAATCTTTAAACTATTCAATAGTCATTAAACTAAATAAACTGGAAAGTTGTCATGTTATTTTATGTTTAATTTATATTAAACTAAACTAAATTCATAGAAAAGTGATTCAAACATTTAAACCGTAGTTTATTTTTTGGTCAGAATAAAATATTGTAACTGTAAATAATTCCCCAAAATCAATAACTCTGTAAGTGCTCGATATCGGATGCTGACCACATTAGTTTTAGTGGACTCAATTAGCTAAAGGCGCTCGGTCATGCATCCGTACCAGTTCACGTTACAGAAGGGCACGGAAAGCATCTCCTACGATCATTAACCAAATTAGATCAGTCATTTCTCGATATATCGATAACCCATCAAATATATTTTCTAACCTCCCCGCTTCTAACTTTTGACTTAACTGGGTGGGTGCGATTCGATTATAGAAGGTGTTACTGGTAAAGAGTTATCAAACTACAATACTGGTGGTATCTTCAGTGGTGATCCCGACGTGATCTGGTACACCAACCTAATTACTGTGAGTCTGTTCCTTTTTGGAATTTCATAAGTCATTGCTTCATTTCGGTGGTATCTTCAATATTATCTGAATGAATCGCTTGAACATATTTGCAAACCAGTAGTTGATATATTTAGGTTAAGAACAGATTACCCTTGTTACTATTAAAAAAACATTTATTATCGTAAACTTAAAACTCGTCAGTAAAATTTTAATGAATGATAAAATGTCGACCTAATTCATATAATTCATACTGTTCTGTGATCTA